CCAGCTACCACTGTCAACAGGAGAGATCTAGGCACTTGCTGTTTAGGAATTAATGATATTTTATGTTAATTTCAGGCTAGTTGATATCATAAACCATTAAATAATGCCTCCTATCAAAAAAATATCAAATGTTGCCAAGACCACAGGCAAGTCAGCTACGCCAGCTACCAAATCAGAAGTTCTACATAATACTAGAAATAGAAGAGTGCCACCAATGAAAGACAATCAAAGAAAAGGGTAATTTGTTTTATGTATTTGAAACATTAGACTACAAAAAGAACTTTTATTAGAGACTACAGCTCAGATCATGCAGTAACAGATCTTTCAAAGTCATTTTGAGTAAGCTTATAGTTATAGGATGGGAACAATATATTTGTTTTGAAACGATTTATGAACTTTGGGTTTTCCTCAATTTTCCCAAAACAAATGAAATTGAAATCTCGAGTCTGTATTCTCAAGTGTCAGAGGTCTCCTTAAGATATAGTTTCATCAAATTCAGATGAAAATGTCAGCTTCTATCATGGCAACATATTGAATTTTGAGGTTGTTTGAATGAGGATAAATAACTCAAGAAATCTTCAATTACATCTTAAATCTTAATACTCCACATTGAAAGAAAAGTTTCATCTTTTTCAGATAGAAACACCAGTTTATAATATATTGAGCTGATTTTGATGAGTTTTTTTTTTTGTCCACCTAAATCTGTACTTATTTATTGTCTTTTTTCAGAGTCAAAGCTGACACAAAAGCGCCAGTTTCAGCAACTCCATCAACAAGAAGTACAGGATCTCTACGTGTAAAAAAGGTGGTAAGTACAAAAAACAAAGCTGTTACTGTTATAGCTAAAAACAAACCAATATCATCCACAATAAAAGCTAACAGTAGGCCTCAAACAGGAACAACAGCTAGAATCTCAACCAATGTTGTCCAAACAAGGAATCAACAATCAAAAAGGGGAGTTGTTAGCAAACCAAATTCTGTTACCAAAAAGACTGTGACAGCCAATCCAACCATTGGTAATGGTAATAAAAGAAAACAAATTGATAACAGCAATGTTTCTAATCAAAAAGCAGCAAAGATACAGATACCAAAAGTCACAGCTGTGGAAAAAAAACCACTAGATCAAGGTCCTCCTAAGAAAGCACGAACAGGAAAATCAGTTACCAATCCAGTACAACATGGAAGCCTTACAGATAATCCCATTCCAAAACAGGTATCAAAAACTTCGGAAGCTGTTGCTGATGGTAATAATGTTGAGTATCTGTCCAACCAGCAAGGAACTGAGAATGTTAATGTGGTGGTTGAAAGAGTGGTTGAAGACAGTGTCCAGAATCAATCTCTTTTTGACTCTGAGATGGTTGCTACGGATTCCAAAAGCTCTAACATGCTGGCCAAGATGCTTGTTGGTGACTCTTCACACTCTATTGGACAATCTGAAGTACATGATAGTCAGATCTTCATCCAGACAGTTGCTGCCAGTGTAGAAGGTGGTCTGCCCAAAAACTTCATCCAGTCTGATGATGTATTTATAGATCAGAATACTAATCAAAATTATTCTGTTTCTAATAAACTCAGTGAGGAAACCATCATCAGCTCTAATGAGAAATGTTCTGGAACTGTTGCAGAAGAAATTTCAAATCAACCTGTTTTGCTGACGTCGAGCACACCAATAGCTACACAACCATCAACCCAGTCTGGTTCCTTACAACATCCTGATACCACCACTGAAGTCATACGTGTTGAGCCCACAGACTTGAAAACACTCAAATCAGCTAAACAGTCCAGTGATAGCAAAACTTCTAAAAGCAATGAATATGATGAAGTAAGTATTTAGTTCCAACACCAATTAAGTCTTCAGTGGTTAGGAAATTCAGTTTTTAGGCTGATACTTGTAAAATAGAAGAGTATGAGAGGTTTTCTTCCAATTGTCACATGGGTGACCTCCCTTTTTTTTTTTTTTTGCTTTGATCAACAGAACTATCTATTTCACATTTAGTCTGTAAATAATAGTGCTGGCACGATATATCGGTGAATCATTGTATCCAATATGATATGCTATGATACGCGTATTGTATCGCAACGTCGTGTATTGATACTTGAAGATAACATTCATTCCATAAAAAGTGGAGATTTTTATAAGTTGGTTTATGATATAACAATGTTTTTTAACTGAAATTGTTAGAAACTTTTTATAAGTCAGTGGACGATAACCACTTCTATTAATTATATTACCAAATATCACAGTTATAAAGTTATAAATTAATATATATTGAAACTTTGAAGATAAAATGTTAATTTTTATTCCATTACCCCATATCATGATTATGTATCGTATTGTGACCCTTGTATCACAATACATATCATATCGTGACATGATTGACGATACTCAACACTAGTAAATAGTGCTTTTTATTCTGCTTCTGTACTTCGATTCCCCTAACATTGAAACATGGTTACAGGGCAATCAAAGTGTTGAATTTTATCTTGGAGACAATTTTTATATTTGACTTGTTTTGTCTTTTCAGGTATTTGACAATGTATCTGGTATAATTAAAGATACGATATTATCAATACCTGGTATGAGATATTTTATATTGTCTAAACTACCTTCTATTACTGGTATTTTAGCTTCACAAACTGGTAATAAAGTGGCTTTAAGTGGTAGCTTGATGGCTCTTTTGAGCTCCTGGAAATTACTTGAAAAGGTATTAAATTATATTGAGCTCCTAGAATTTATATATGGTATTTATACATGTGCTTGTTTTGGCTCATCTTCACAATGTCAAGCTATTTCAAACTTGACTGAAATAGCCAATATTCTTGTATCTCAGAAGTTAGTAAATGCAGAGATTTGATTGGATTCTACACTAGCAAATACAGTTAATCAGAATTCTGAAAGTCTGTAAATAATTAAGCCATAATAGATACAGTCTTTAAGTCGAGGGCTCTAATAGGCTGTAATCACTGGAGAGAAGGTTGGGATGTAAGGGTTTAAAACCAAGGCTGCAAATGATTCATATACAATCCTGACCACTTAGATGTCATTTTAATAATAAATAATAAACTCTTTATTTTACATGGGTCAGAATTAGTCCCAATACTCAAAGACAGGGTCCAGTCTAACATTCAGCCCATTGGGACAATAGAATGAATTAATGAATGAATGAATGAATGAATGAAAACCAAAAACACACGATGGACAACCTGTTTAACAAGTACAGAAGTACATGTGTATTAAATGTACAGACTATGTTGCTGTGATCAAGTATATGACCACGAAAGATGTACAAACTCTCACAGTTTAACAATATATATATATACAGAAAAATACATATACACAAGTACATGTGTATGAGATGGACAAGATGTAAATGCACTGAAATACATATACATTCATATGAAAAAAAAACCCCAAAAAACCTGTAAGCCAAAAGTCAGTTGCAGGCCAATGTTAAAAAATGTGGATCGTTTATAAGAGCAGAAAAAGAAATATAATTTTGTATTCCTAGTCAAAAATAAAAATAACAAGGTTTTTGTTTTCTGATTGCAGATGAGTAAATTATTTGGCAGTTTATGTAATGAAACAAGCAAAGATCACAGTTATTCTGATAAAATATTGGGTATGTTCTATTATTTAATTCATTAGCTATTAATATATCACATATAACAAGTGACAACAGAGTACATTTTGCTTTCTTAATAGATGCAATTTGAATTCTTTTTATTTCTCATACTTGAGATAGTCTTTTCAGAGATTAAAGGGATTGTAAAGAAGTCTTCTAAAAAAATTGTTTACGTATCTGGAACACTGATAGCATCAATTTGCACCATTCCAATTTTCAAGCAGATAAATTTGCGATAAGTGACATCATCAAACAATTAGTTTTGTGGACCACAGTCGTCTGATTAAAGATAGTGGACCACAGCCATATACGCCCACCACGGCATGCGGATGGTAAATATTAAAGATTTTGGGGCAAGGGCAATAACTCTGCTTCTTGCGGTCGAAAATAGCTCAAATTCGAACTTGATCTTCGTTTTATGAATATGTCTACACATACCGAACTTCATTTGTCTAGTTTTTAGAGTGTTTACAAGCAATTGATGTTGATAGAAGCACTTACTGTATAGATGTTAAAGGGGGATAACTCCTCAAAACTGATGTAAGAGGCCTAAATCTTGAAAAAGCCTTTGATTTAATCAGATGTAAATTAAACTTTCTCAAACTTTTTGATTTAGGTCCAATAACATCCATTTTAAGTTTCATCAAAATCAGTTGAAAACTAAGAAAGTAATAGCATATTCAAGATTTTGGGGCAAGGGCAATAACTCTGCTTCTAACAGTCGAAAATAGCTCAAAATCGGACTTGATCTTCGTTTTATGAATATGTATACAGATACCGAATTTAAAATGATCCCATCAAAAACTCTAGTTTTTAGAGCGTTTACAAGCAAATGTTGACGGACCGACGGATGGTCAGGGGTGCTGACAATAAACTTCCACATAGAGAGATGTGGGCGTATAAAAATAGGAATAGTGCATATTGATGCTACTAGTGTCCCCAATACACATAAAAATAAAAAGTTTTGAGATTCGTTATAAGCACTGATAAAGGGTATGAATGGAGCAGACCTGACTTACTCTGTTTGTCAACTCTGAGATTCCACTGTTCTATATTGTTTGCTATATTTATAACAGCAGTATTATATTTTTAGGCTATGGCAATCGTAAGAAAGATAGTACATTAGACAATATGTCCTCTTTAGCTAAATTAACTTTGGTTCTACAGCAGCTAATAAATGATGACAATGTGCCAGTAGATGATGCCTTGGATGACAGATGTCTGCCAGATGTTATCAAGATGGTTAAACAGAAGATTATTCAAGATAACACCAGAAATACTGAAGTAGAACAGCTATCTCCTGTGGTGAAACAAGAAGAAGTGGCAGAAGATCAGGAATCCCTAGATGCTGAAGAGGACACTGAAGACCCTCAGCATTATGTTTGTAAGATTTGCTCCAGAGATTGCCTCAGTCAGGTGTCTTTAGCCTGCCACATGACCATCAGCCATCCCAGCTCCACCAATGCATGTTATATTTGTCAGGAGATCTTTAATACCCAAACTGAATTACTGATTCATATTAAAGATAACCATGAAAATAACCTCGGAAATGAATCTTTCAAGTGTTCTCTTTGTAATAAAACTTTTTGCAAGCAACGCTACCTTAAGACTCACTTAAAGCGACATACTGGTGTCAAAAACCATGAGTGTCCTATATGTCAGTGGAAATTCTTTGAAAGGACGAAATTAAAGTGGCATATGGAGACCCATAAAGACGTCAATCAGAGAAATTTACCTTATAAATGTAACGTCTGTTTGAAAAGTTTCTACAATCGACCAGCATGGAGTGATCACATGAACATTCACTCTGGACAGAAACCATTTAAATGTCAAATTTGTGAGGCCAGTTTTGGACATCGGATGGGATTAAAACGTCATGAATTAGTTCACAAAAAAGAATGTGAATTCAGTTGTAACCATTGTGGAAAAGGGTTTAAAATGGCTTACAAACTCAAAGAGCACATGGTACGTCACACTGGTGTTGGAGATCATACATGCCAGTCTTGTGGCAAAGTGTACACTACCAGCAATTCTTTGAAAAGACACATTTGCACCTCAAGTAAAAATTTGTCCAATGAAGATGTAAATTATGTTCCTGTGGCTGAAGAAGAGGCCCTCCAACAACCTGCTGAAGCTGAGCCAATTCAATATATGTGTAGTGAATGCAATGCAATGTTTGTGAATCTAGAAGATGCAGAAATTCATGCATTTTCACACAGCACCCAACCTGGAGGTCACCAGTACCAAATAGATTTAGGTAATTTATTTTAAATTTCCTTGGGATGTAACATGTAAGTCAGTGATTTTTCTGTCAGTAAGTCAGTGATTTCTGTCAGTAAGTCAGTGATTTTTTATGTCAGTAAGTCAGTGATTTTTCTGTCAGTAAGTCAGTGATTTCCCTCTCAGTAAGTCAGTGATTTCTCTTTCAGTAAGTCATTGATTTCTCTTGCAGTAAGTCAGTGATTACAAGTCAGTGATTTCTCTTGTAGTAAATCGGTGATTTCTCTTGAAGTAAATCAGTGATTACAAGTCAGTGATTTCTCTTGCAGTAAGTCATTGATTTCTCTTGCAGTAAGTCAGTGATTTCTCTTGTAAGTCAGTGATTTCTCTTGTAAGTCAGTGATTACAAGTCAGTGATTCACTTGAAGTAAATCAGCGATTTCTCTTTCAGTACATAGATGCATTTCTATGAATTTGCTTCAAGATGATAAGTGTGATCTTATTTTTTAGGCAATGGAAGCTCTAAATTAGTATATATAAAAAATAACGAGGAAGCAGGAACTGCTGTGGATGCTTTAGCTGCTATTGATGGAGGTTATATTACCTATCAAGAAGACCTGTCTACTGTAACTAGTACTAATAAAAATGATGAACAATTAGTAGCTTCAACACTAGCCCATTTATCATCAATGAATAAAACTACAACTTAATGGAGATTCCTTTTGAATAAATAGGGTGTCTATTTCGTAATTATATGGTTTTCTGTTAGTGATGCTAGCAGTGGACACTTAATTTAATTGCTGACACTAACCATTTAGAAAGTTGGCATTGTTAAAAAGTCTTTGGCCAAATGAGCAGCCAATCTCACTGTAAGTTTATATTGACAAGAAATCGAAGAAATTTTATAAATTTTGAATTAAATTTCTTTTTTAAATGTTTGTAAATGCAGTGATAGAATACAGCCAATCAGAGTCCTTGACAGAAAGTCTACACAATAAGCTATAATGTTTACAGTCTGTTCAGGGCTATGATTGGTTGTATTCACTGACATACAATCCAATCAAATTCCCTGATACCAAACTCGAAAGGTGACTAGTGAAAATAAAGGTATTAGACCAAGTTTGTAATAACTAGACATTATGAAGATGTCTATTGGCAAAAATATTCTTGTCTTATACATCCATTACAACAATCAAATATATAATGAAAGATATCAAATAGATTATTTATTTTTATTAGCATGATATTTTTGTTTATTTCATTGTTATACATTGCCTTGTTATTTTCTTTAGGAAATAAATCATTTCAGAGGAGGTGTTGTTATATGTAGGTTATCCAGAAAAAAAAAAAGGTTTCATTTTGCCTGACCATGTCCCCCTCCAGTGTAATCCATCTTGTGCATCAAAAGCTGAATTATTGATTTCCTTCCTGTTATTCAAATACAGATATTACTTTCTGCTGGGTGGGCATAGACTTACACCAAATTATTAAGCATTTATTCTACATTGCTAGTAATGCATTAACCCGTCTAATGGAAACAACTCTGATAGTGATGTACAAAATCAACTGTTCCCAACTTAAAAACAATGTTTTTTGTAAATAGACACCTTTATGGGGGTTACTTTAATTCTATAAATAAACAATATTTTACATTAATATAACAAAACACAATCAAAATAATTAGATTACTGTCAATCATTTATTTTTGTAGGCACCAAATTTCATACATGTCTCCTGGCTGGCTGCCTGACCCACGATCTCCATAAGGATTTAGCCCCAAAATTATCAACAAAAACTAAGAACAATTCAAATGGTGCATGCTTGACTTAAGCTAAGTTCACTGACCAAAAATATCAGGAGCATTTATCCCCTAGACAAATTTAAAGATACCATTTTTTAAAGCTTTGTCCCAAAATATCTGTCAGAATGCACCAAATCAATTCTGTTTTTCAAAACTTTTCCAGGAGTAAAACTCTTTCAGACACTGTACTGAGATGTATTAAATCTCAACCTGAAAGTAATGTTCTTTGTGATGGCATACACACACATTCAAGGTTATATTGTAATGTCGCTAATACATAACGGTGGGTACTATCAATTTAATCACAGTTAATAAGCAGAATATTGCAGAAAGTGGTTTCTAAGCAAAGTTATTACAAACACTAGGCTAACGGTAAATTTGGCTTTTATCATCCAATTCTCCACTCTGCATACCTGGCACTAAGGATGAACGACATAAACCCCAGAATTTCTCTGGAGACAGTTTTTTATTTTTGGCTGTAAATCTCCATCCAATATGATTAGCACATTCTTTACATTGAGCAATTGTCCAGGCATATCTGAAAAACAGAAAAAAAAAACATATTTTACAAGGCTAGTAACATAGGTTGGTCTGTAGATGACAAGTTAAAGTTCACTTCCAGCGGATGCTGATATCACAAACTCTGTACCTGTCGGTAGTCGTAGTAGTTGGTAGTTAGACTGGTTCAAATTGGATGATCCTGTGTTGTTGGTTTGGTTGTTGATACTTTATGACATGGTGGTGAAACTCGGCCCTGGATGGTGTGGCGCGAGTTACTCGATTTCCTTCATTCTTCTTCTTCTTCAACTCGTTCTGATCATGGTATTTCTTGTTGATTGGATTCACAAGGTACATTTATACCAGCTGGTCTCTGACCTCTTGGCATTGATCTTTCCAAGATTATCTGTACCCATTTACAGTTGGGTCGACTAGGACCATGTCCTTGGTGTATTGAACCTAATTCTGACCCAAACTTTATGGACTTTATGATTGGCTGTATTTTGTAGCTTACAATCCAATCAAATCACTCCACTTACAAACTTTCAAGAAAAGAGAGCAATAATGCAGTCAAGTTACAAGATGGAGCTGGTAGTATGATGAGACTTGTAAAGAACTTAGAAATCTTGACTAGAATCAGCCTGTCGTTAGGGTGGGGTCCATGGTGACTGGGCCCCAGCAAGTGAGAATTAAGCCCCAGCAAAATCTTCTCCAGTTCAGCAGAAATTGATTCATTTACAGTGTCTTTATACAAAAATCAAAAGGATATAGATTTTGATACGATTTGGCAATTGTCAGAAATGAGTTCTCTGGGCCTTTAATTCTTCCAATTATCTGAGTACAAAATCTGAGCCCCAGCACCAATTCATTCCTGGCAATGGGGCTGACTAGAATGATTCCTTAAGATAAATAAATGCTATTTAAATATTTCTTACCCAGGAAACCAACTATGTTCTGTTGAAGATCTTCCTATTAGTGAGAGATTTTTAGCTCGGTAGATAGTTAATGTTTCATGTACATGACCTCCAGGGTTAACATAAGCTCCCATTGGTCCTTCTACAGCCATACTAAATACATCATTCTTGTTAGCCATAGCTGTATTACAATATTTACACTGTAGTACTGAACACTAGAATATATAAAACATTGATAGTTAATGTAGCTATTCCAGAAACAAAAACTCACTGATTACATTGAAAATCAAGAAACCAATCATAATACCAAATATAGCAACTTAAGTTCTCGAGGATCCTGTCTAAAAGCTTGGCCAAATGTCTTGGCAGTGATCTTTCCTGCATTATCTGAACCCATCATCAGCTGGGTTGACTAGAATAATGAGGAAAGATGAATTATTTAAATTTACCACACTTATTGGAATATAATTCTAATATGCCACACACAAAGCAATCCTTTCAAGAAAAAGGGCCATTTTTAATTATTACATACAGTTGATATATTATAGTTGTCAACCAAAATAAGAACAAGGGCAATAACTCAATATAATATCTGTCAATCTTACTGATTTCGATAGGGTTTATCCTTAGGTAATAATAAACAATTTAACTAAGTTGCATCAAAACTTGCAATTTACGAGCAATTGTTAACGGGTGGATGGACATTGGTAATGCAGTCATACGCTCCACTTTTCCTGTTGGGGTTCAAAAATTCAATATTCAACAATTACCATTTTCATGACATGTAATTCATAGCGTAGTCTTTGTACTGGTGAATCATAACTTAATAAACGTAACCGGATTGTGTCATCTAATGGTAGATTCTGGGCCAACCAAAACGATAATTCTGTGGCTGTTTTGGGGATTTCAGCTTCATTTAAACTGTCATTCCAACTTCTCAATTCTTTTAGTATTTGTTCAAATAAAAAATCCTGAAAATGAATAATAAATCTCCATATAACACGTGAAAATTCGGGATTTTATTTTATTATGTGACTTGTCTCTGAGAACTATCCTGAAAGCACATTACGTTTCTAGACACTATCAATGAGTGCAAACACTGTGGGGAAATGAGCCTGTATATATTAAAGGAGTATTTCGCTTTTTTGTAAAAAGTTTTCCTTATCAAAAACATTGTAAATTATACCTGAAAATATTTCTAAAATATGTTATTTATATCTATGCATCTATTTGATCAAACTGAATTTGATATTAATTGTTAATTAAGCAGTTTGACCTAGTTTTGGTGTTTGGATTTATAATGACTCGATATTGTTAGTTAAAATACATAGGAGACATATTTCTCTACAATTGGGCGTTTATTTTACTTAAGTCCGTTCAGTAGTTTTCTAACAGCTTCGGAAAAGCATAACGAACTTAAAAACCTGACGTAATGTTTTTGGCGTTTACACGTTAACAGTTGGATTTTTTTAAGTTAAAACTTTCAGATACGTTGAAGGGTACATTACTCTAGATTTTGGTGTATAGTTTCCATAAATTTGAGTAAAAGAATTTTTCGATCTACAAATAAAGCGGAACATCCCTTTAAGAAAAAGAACTAAAACACTTACTGTACAGTACATTTTATATACCCATGGTGGCCACCAAGTATAATTAGCACAAGAAAACTTGTTTAACTGAAAAGTGAAATTTGAGATCATTGAATTTATATCAAGGAATTATGACATAACTCCTAATCATTAAATAATTTCCAATGACAGAGATACTAAATAACGATGGTTTTCCTTGTTTTTATTTGATTAATTGGTGTTTCTAATGAATTATCATGTATAACCATATCATTATGTTCATATCATTAAGAGTTTTGACCAATCATAAATGTCTATGTATATACAGTCTGGATAAACATTTCTTGATCGGTCACTCATTGCTGGTAATTCATTGCTGGTAATTCATTGCTGGTGATTCTGTTCTAATTTAGCTAATTATGAATTAATTATGGACATGTGAGATAAACTTATTCAAATTCATTAGAACACCTCTACTTTCTATTCATATAAGTTTTGGCATTTTCATTTTCATAAATAAAAATAAGGGAACCCATCTTTAACTGCCAAAGAAACAAACACGTTTTATAACACTGTGCCAAAAATAGGACTGTAGACTAGCAGAATTTGTTGCTGTTTTTATTATTTTTGCTGAGGTGAAAAACCCCAAAATATCATTCTGTTGTCCCTTAAGACAACCATCTGGTTAGGGTAGCCAGTTTATTGAGTGAAATAATAACCAAGACAATTTCAGCACCTTTACCCTGTCTTCAATATCAGATTCAATTTTCAATCAGACGTCTGTGATTCCTGCAATTCACTTAAACTTTAGTGTCACTCCGCAAAATTTGCTTGTATCACATAAGACCTTTGCAGGGGTGACGTCATAAAATACCTAGTTTTAGTAGAATTGCTAGAACCACAGATGTCTAATTGAAAATATGAATGGTGCAAATTGATGCTATCAGTATCACACATTACAAATTTAGAAAACCTCTTTACAATCTCTTTAATGCCATGAAAACAAAACATGAAATAAATAAAGAGGGAAGGTCAATACTTTATATATATATAAGACCTACTTGTCTGTTGTTCAGTAAACTAATACTTTTTATCACATTTCCTTTTCTATCTACCGCTGTTTTCACAACCTCATCTTGTTCACAGGGATCACACAGGAACTTTCTATGGGAACCTAGTCTAGCACCTTCTAAATAATCTGGTAATATTCTTTCTGACAGTATTCTCACTTTACCTGTTAGTACCCTGAAATATAACATTAATTTCATCAAGTTTCGTCTATCTCCTTCAAGAATTGTGCCTTCTGGAATGTTTACGAGCTAAAAATTGAAAGCGTTTTCAAGAACAAGGGCATTAACTCTTATTAAATATTTTTTGTGATTTTTCTGTTTCTGATATTCAAATTTTTTTGATTTGTTTTATTTTTGATAGGGTTCATCCTTGGGTAATAAAAAATAATTGCACAAAATTTCAAGCTGGTATCCATTGAGAATTGTGCCTTCAAGAATGTTTACAATAATAAGGGCAATAACTCATATCAACCATTTTGAGATTTTCCTTAAGGCTCATCATTGGGTGATAACAAACACTCAGTTTCATCAAGAATGGTGCCTTCTAAAGTGTTTACGAGCATTTGTATTTTAACCTTTGCTTGACCTCCGAGGCATATTAGACTAACTTATCAAGTCTGCAAGTCTAATACACCTCGGAATGCACCTATTGTTCGCATCACAATATCCCATCGCTGGAAAGGGCAAAGGTCAACACAATGAAAGGTCAAGAAGGACAGTGTTAGACCTTACTGTAGTGGTTATGTACAAAGATAATACCTAATAAAACATTCGAAACAAAACTAATAAAATATGAACGGAAGTTAGGTCTAATTTTAATGAGACTGACTGATGGACTGACATGGGTGATGCCAGTATACGTCCACGTTTCATGTGGGTGTATAAAAATGATCATGTTTAGCTAAATCATAAGGTAACCTTGAAGTTTATCATGATGTAACTGTTAATACATTTACACAAACTTATCTTATGTTTTAGCTGTGAAAACGAAGAATAAGATATGAATGTCAAATTAAAGAGCCTGAAGGAGGTGTAGATCATATCAAACTTACCCAGTTACATCTCTACTAGTCTCTATCAACTTAAATCTCTGTCGCCCTCTAGCTTTAATACGTAATGTAGAGATTCCTGTTATATCATCAGTTTCATCTTTAATAGAGAAGATTTCAGCTGTAGTACCATAACATTCTAATTCATCATCAGTATGATTAACATCTCTACAATTACACATAATAACAAGAGATAGTAACCATTATATTATAATTAAATCATGATTCCACATCAAATATTGATTGGATAACAGCGGTCACATGCATTCGGTTTATATCTGTAATAACAGAATGTAAATATAAGCTCCACCCCTTAACGGACTACTTTTATCATTGAGTTTGATTGATGTGGCCACTATACGACGTTCCTTCAAACGTCAACAGTGCTGAAATTGACACTTCACTGAATGATAACCGTATTTTCCAAATTCCTTCGAATGTGCACACTCCAAATTCCAACAATATCACAAATTTTTTCGAAATTGTCTTTCCATAATATCTCTTTCAACGTGGCCGCTCCATCAATTTACATGCAGTAGACAGTAGACTGTAAATAGGTGACATACTTATTGCTGATTGGCTGTTCTATAGTGGGTCTCTATTGTTAGCAGTTCATTAACGTTATGTTAAAATCTTATGTATTTATGCCAATTTAGTGCCTTAAATTGTTGCTATTTTAGATAAATATTTAAACAAGTATTCGAGTTGATTTAATTATAAGGAATGACCTGAACATTTTTTCAGTTTATCAATGTATAAACAGAATAAACCTGTGCACATTCCAGTGTGTGTAAGAACACAATTCCCTAAATACTTTTACTACTACTTCTGCATCTTGTCTTTTGTTTTGATCTAGATAGGCATTTTAGCATTTTACAATAAAAAAAGATAAAAGAGCGAAACTGAATCTTTTTAACGTAGGCCTTAATTGAATGCATTGTGGCTGCTATTCATTTTTCAGCTGGCAACATTTTAGAAAAAGGAACTTAATCTGAAACTTCTTCAGAAGAATAAATTAGACAGTGGAAAGCATGGAACATCTGTAGTTATAGTAATATGACTATAGCAGATCATTCAATTTGGCACCTTATCAAATGTAACTACAGTGGTTCATAGCTTAAACATAAATACAAAGCTGATAAACCTTTCTGAACATTTCTCATACTAGGTTTTAATTTCTGCACATACCTATATGTCATGATGCCGAACGTTTTATCATTTTCAGCCACTCTTTTCATCATGGCCACCTGATGATGTTGAAATAGATGTAATGGGATAATTTGGTCTGGTATTAGTACTATACCAGGTAACATATAGAGTGGTATAGTAATAAACGACTCATCATCATGTATAGTTCTACCTGATTGTACATCTTCCATATCATTTCCTAAGTACTGGAATTAGACATGAATAAATGTACATCGTTTTATGGGGATCAGTAAGAATCAGGGATATAAAATAAAAGCATCTACATGCAGATCATTTGTGTGAATTTTTCCTTCAAAGCATGCACGTTAAATCTAAAGACACATACTGTGTGGTTCATGAAATTGAGAGTTGGTTATATGACCATAGAAACTGTCACTGATAGTGATACAGGGGGGGAGCAGGTATAATCTTTCACTTTATTAGACACAAGAACTTGAAGCTGGTAGCTTAAAAAAGTATAGAATATTGATGCGCCTTGCTGGTTTAAAGCAAACACAGCACAAATTTTTCAAACTTACTGAATGGGTTGAAGGCAGAGATTTATCAAAACTGACAGTTATCTGAGGTTTTCTTGCTGCACCTGCATAAGTTGAAGGTGTTCCTTTTGTCTTGTGTTCTTCAGCTTCATCATTAACCTCTTCATCATCATTATCAATTTCATCATCATCAAGGAAACCATCCTCTATATCATCTATTGGTAAAAAAGCATTGCTTATAAAAATGGCTTGATTTATCAAATAATAACGAAGCAACATTTTTTGTGTTCAATTTTAAGCATTGACATATTCTACAATTTGAAAGACCCTTCGTAAAATCAAATTTAAAAGCACAGGCTCAAATGGAATTTAGGACTGATTCTTAGTTATATTTTTAGTTGACAATTCCATTTATATGATAACAGAAATTGCAATAGCCCCTAAGGTTCCCAACCTGGGATGTTTTAGACCCCTGGGGTTGTGGGACTAGGGTGTCAGGGATGTGACCAACTGGTGTTAGAGAAAAATTTATTTTGAGTTGTGAGAGCACCTCACATCATCACATGCTGCAAATGTGTATGAAACAAATTTTTGGGGATGTGAAATGTGATTGCTCCAGGGGTTTGAAGACTGAAATAGGTTGGAAACCACTGCACTGTAACTTAAGTAGGTTACTTTTATTGAGTGTCTCATTGTTTTGTATGGTTAATTTGTCTTTAGTCCTTTGTTTATTCTGCATCTACAAATTATTCAAACCTGTAGATCATTTTAGTATTTTAAGAAAGCACAACATGATGTGTACACAATGGTTTTAAAAGGATAGATGCATCACAATACTACAAATTGTACGAAAATTGCATAATTCCTTCAAAAATATCTCAAAATGGGAATTTCTTTCCTTATTTCTATAGATGTCTTTTCTATATAAGTCTGAATTTTTAACTTTCAAATGCAGATAATTCTGGACACACATGGATTTGAAGGCTCAAATTTCGACGGTGAGCCGTGAACACTATTACTGATTAGCTTAGTTAACAAATTCATGTTTCTGAGACTAAGGTATGATTGATCCAAAAAATATGGCTCTGAGTGTACCAGTATTGAATAGTGCATGTAGCTCTTATTTCTTGTTCAATCGCTTTTACAGCTAAACTCAGCCAATCCAAGATAGCAGACAGAGCATCATACCTTGTACAGCCCATAGGCTATATGTTTATTTTTACAAGCCAGATAAGACTGCCCGGGCCTGTGCCTGTGGCTAAACATTATCATCCAGGGTTAAATTAAGATTGAAACTTTGATTAGCAATTTACCACAAAGAAATTTTGGTTTTGTCTAATCAAATCAAAATTCAATTTGCATTTAATGAAAAATTCGGTAGCAATTCAAATTGTTTCAGTAGACTTAGATCTATCTTGCCAGACATCGCAAAGAGTTGCAAGATTTGGTTGAAAATTTGTTGAGTTTTGTGTCAGATTATTAAGATACATTTTACTTCTATGAAAAATTTTGAATTGCAAAATGGTTAATTTTTTCTTGCTAACTGTCATGCATTTGGCCAACTGCCAGTAAGTAGTAAGTTAAAATTCGAACACTGTGTTATTGTCTATTGTCAAATTTGGTTTGATGTCATTAACATTTGAATGATGTCATCATAAAAAGGCATGAACATTCATTGCCAGCTATGTAATTTTGCAAGGCATTGTGTTGCTATTAATGTTATTCCCTGCCTATGCGTGTATATCATTTGTATGGAGATTGTGCAAGACATAAAATGGAAATGATTATTTATTAGGTCCTAGGCTATATCCTATATATCAATATGATGATGACAATAACAATATGAATAATCATAATGTTGTGATAATAAATCAGTAGAGGAACTTGTTGTTTGGATTGGAAACAGATCAAATTGGGGTTAAATAGTTGAAAGGTGTAGACATCTCTCTAAATTGAATAACTAGCCATTTATATCGTCACTGTCGGAGCTGTCATCTTCACCGTTCAACCGTCGAACGATTAATGCTCGCAAATCATCTGCCATATTTGTTTATCTCGGTGAATTCTGGGTAATTTTTAGTCACATGACAAAACCCAACCAATAAAATGAGCAGTCGTGTACTTACACTTCATTTCCGGTTTTTGGTTCGGGAAGTAAACGTGTTGCTGTCAAATTTGACAGATAAGGTAGAAGAATATCAACAAGTCCTACGGTTTAATTTTATTAATGAGTATTGAACAGTTTGTACTGTGAGTTGTTCTAAAATTCAAATTTTAAGGAATTACCAACCAAATAGTAAACGGTAAGTTCAAATAAAATGATGTAACCATTTTAACTTTTACTTTTATTTTGTGTGTGGTTGAAACTTGGTCAACTTTCTCGACATATAAAATAAGTGTGATGATACACCTTTGGAATGTTGCGGTAATATTTGTGAGAGAGAAGAACCATATGGTAAATTTTCAAAGAATATACAAGAAAAGCACAGTTGTGTAGATCTAGACATACACTGTTTTTGTTGGTACCTTTGCCATTTACCTTTCAAACTAAGTTATCAATAATTACATTAAAGGTTAGGCCTATATCACTAACAGTATGTTTGGATTGTTCAGAAACTGGTAAATTATGTTGGTTCATCATGGTACCAGCCGTAACAACTTAATTCCAGATTTGAAATTTGCTGAATTGAATTTTAAAGATGGTATTTATATGAACTTAAAAATAGCAGCAAATTACTATTTTTCAACAAAATTGCAAAGATAATACATAAAGTTTTAAGTTAAATATAAACTTGACATTGGATTCAATAGATTTTTATTCTAAAAATTTTTCAGTGAAAAGTAACATAGTACTGGTAGGCCTGTGAGTAATTATGATTTTTAGCAGCTAGTGAACTGAGTAGGCCGACAGTGTACAAAGTATATTTGTTTGTAATATAGAAATATGAAAACAGAACCTAAAAAGATTATGTTACTATTCATATTTCTATATTACTCTACAATTGATGTATTGAGCACTATTTTAACAGTGGTATTTCTATAAGCTTATATCGCTCTATAATTGATGTATTGAGCACTATTTTAACATTGATATTTCTATATATCGCTCTACAATTGATGTATTGAGCACTGTTTTAACAGTGGTATTTCTATATATCGCTCTATAATTGATGTATTGAGTACTATTTTAACAGTGGTATTTCTATAAGCTTATATCGCTCTACAATTATTGATGTATTGACCACTATTTAACAGTGGTACTTCTATATAACTCTACAATTGATGTAATGAGCACTGTTTTAACAGTGGTATTTCTATTTAAGCATATATCGCACAATTGATGTATTGAGCACTATTTTAACAGTGGTATTTCTATAAGCATATATCGCTCTACAATTGATGTATTGAACACTATTTTAACAGTGGTATTTCTATATAACTCTACAATTGATGTATTGAGCACTATTTTAACAGTGGTATTTCTATATCGCTCTACAATTGATGTATTGAACACTATTTTAACAGTGGTATTTCTATATAACTCTTGATGTATTGAGCACTATTTTAACAGTGGTATTTCTATATCGCTCTACTATTGATGTATTGAGCTCTATTTTAACAGTGGTATTTCTATATTGCTCTACAATTTAGGTATTGGCCACTATTTTATTAACAGTGAGAATTGTTATTGTTTGCAATATAGGTTAATTACTTCAGAAGTATACTTAAATCAATGTGTTTCTGTTTATTTTTGTAGGTATTGACAATGAAGTTTGATCAGCTGTTTGTATTCTCAGTATGCTGTACTGTATTTGTATCTATCAATGTCTCATTGGCTGGTAAAGACTATTATGAAATATTAGGAGTCAAAAAGAATGCCAAAGCAAAAGATATCAAAAAAGCTTTTAGAAAACTAGCTGTTAAATACCATCCAGATAAAAACAAAAAAGATCCTAAAGCCGCAGAAGCCAAATTTATTGAAATTGCCAAGGGTATGTAGTTTTAAAGCTCATTTCAGCTTCTGTTAGCTTATTCATACTAGTAGTGAATACAATCAAAATTGAGCTATTTAAAGACTTGAATAAGCTTTTAGTGAAGCGTGTAGAAATTGTTTGAACAATCTTTCGAAAAGTTGAATTGGATTAAAACATTATAATTTCAGCATATGAAGTTTTATCAGATGAAAAGAAACGAAAGGAATATGATCAGTTTGGAGAAGAAGGTCCTGGTGGACAAGGATTTGGAGGACAAGGCTTTCAGTTCAACATGAATGATTTCTTTAAAAACTTTGACAATGCTTTTCATGCACATCAAGATTTCCACAATCATCATCATCGAAATCATGGAAATCAATTTAAATTTGATTTTGGTGGCAATGGTCAGTTTTTTAACTTTGATGATTTTTTCCATGATGATGATGGAAATGATGACATGTTTGGATTTAACGGGTTTCACAATATGTTTGATGATGATTTATTTCAAAATATCCACAACCATCATCACCATGAACGTTTCCGTCCAAACCACAGACACTTTTCTAGTCAGAGACATTCTCACCAAGATTTTGATAATGGGAATGTGCATCATCATCATCAGCAGCATCATAGTAGTAGTCAAGGATCTGGTAAGTAATTCTGTTTCATTCATCATTTCAAAATCATTCATCATTCATCATCCCTATTAAATATCAGAACACAATTTTATGGCATACTACTTCTTAGTTTTATTGCACATTGCGTTTCAACAACTTCCATACTTGATGGGTATTTCTGAGAAGAAGAGAAAACAGAGAAGAGCTGTCTGTCTTGAGTTGGCCAAATTTTCAAATTAGCCCCTGTAGCTACTAACTACGGGCCTTTGGTGAATCTATTCACTGGGACTAGAGATGTACTCATGTGATAAAGATTATTAATTTGTAATTAAAAATACTGTCATATGTAATACTTCAAGCTGTTATATATCTCATCCATAAATTGAATTACATTAAAATAGATAACAATATAACAATGACACTAAAAGATCAGATTGAGATTACAATAGACAAAGTGGTCATTTGAAGAATGAATTATATAGAATCAGTCATGCAGTGATATCATGATCTGATGGTAACATACAATATTGATGGACACATACGGCTGGGGGATATACCGGTATCACGATAAATAAATACCATCACGATAAATACTGGTATTGGAATTTACATCATTAGTGATATTGTCTAATTAAAAATACCGAAATATCGCCATATATAGTAATTATCATGATATACCGTAAAGTTTTTGTCCAGATAAGATCATCTACTCAATTCCAACAAGATATTCATGATATTCAAGACTGGGGTGTTTTTAAGAGATATTTATTTTTTTTCTTATATGTAAAATTTTTAGATAAAAAAAATGACATTTTGTATCAAAACCAGTCAAAAATCTTACTCAAGAAATATTGTGATATATACCTATATCGTGATATATCAATGTTTAATACCGTGATATCAACTTGAACCAATATCACCCAGTTCTGCTTATTTATAATATTGATTGATACATTATTTTTTTTTATAAATTTCAGGTCAGTCATGTAGAACAGTAACACAACAGATTGGTAATATGATAACAACACATACTGTTTGTTCTTAACACATATGTGCATGCTGTATGCAAACATACACATAATGTGTTGAATAATGCACATGGTGTGTTTTTGTGATATAGACAATAAATGTGATGGGTTATATTTTTGAAGGAAGAGTGCACATTTGATGTGTTCAACTGTTCCCATTATGGTGGTGTTTGGTGAAAATTTACATATCTGTGATTCATATGTTATTGTCAATCAAATTTTCATTTTTGTCTGACGAAGTGATTTGCACACTTTTTCATGAACAGTGGTCTGGCCTTAATAGATATTTTAACATTTGATCATACAGGGATTCAAAATGTTCATTCATAAAGTTACATGACATACTTTGGATATTGGGATAGAAGTGTAAATATTGGCTTTCCTAGATGATAAAGATCAGTTACAGCTATCTGTAGTGCTTTTTAAAAGTGCAAATATAACTGATATCAAAATTCCAACAGATGATTGTCACTGAATTGAAGGGGAAATGAATACCAGACTACATTTCTGAAAATGGCTAAATCTAATAGAAATTGAATTTGATCAGCTGGTAAAACATTTGTTTTGATAAACCCTTCTATTTTTATATCTGAAATTTAAGCAATAATTACATATATTTACCTGTTCTTTTTGCATCTCCAAAACTGATTTTCTACTATTTAAATCATAAGAGTTTATATGCAAAAGATTAATTTAAAGTCTGTTATTTTTACAGCCAGACTCAGTTAACGTGAAGTAAATCTTTTTATTAAAGAGACAGATTCGCCATCCGCTTGACTAGTGCCTTAGTCTAAGAAACAGGAATTTTTAGCAACGCTTATCAGAATTACTGTTCACAGCTCACCGTTGAAATTTGAGCCTTAAAATACAGGTGTCCTGATTTATCAGTGTTTGAAAGTTACAATGATGAGTCTTTTTTTCTTTAGACACTGCTATATATTAAAACACATACATGTATATAGAAATACAAAGTGAAATTCCTATACTAGTTTGATTTCGGGCAAATAGCAAATAGCAAAACTGTCTCTATAAAATATTACATAAGTATTGTGACTAACATAAGTAATATGTACATAGATTACATAAGAAATGTCTTCCAGCCATAAGAGTTTATCAAAGATCTCTTATCAAACTTTTACTCCCACCTTTTTCACTGTGGCTTTAATTTGTTACCAATCTTTCACATGTTATAAATGAAATTGACCTGTTTGTTATATAAGTAAGAATCTCTAGCTACTTGATACAGGTGATCTATGTACCAATCTTTCAGATAATTTATTTTAAAGTGGCCGTGTGGCAGTTTTCTAGTCTCTATTTTTGAAATGTTGATATTTATATAATAGTAACTGAAGCTATGAGTAACAAATCATTTGTCTATTTGATAATTGTAAAATTATTACCAAATCAATTCTATGTCATGTTCATCAAACAGCTGTCTTATACCTTGACTACAATACCGTCCTATTTTGTATCACAGAAGTTTGTAAATACAGTAGTATGGTTGGATGGTACAAAAGTGAATACAGCCAATCAGATTTCTCAACAGAAAATCTTAAACAATAAGCCTAATGTTCACTGTCTGTCTGTCGAGGTCTATGATTGGTTGCATCCCGTGATACAAGAAAGGTGGCTGTTGCAGTCAAGGTTCATAAAAGTTCATAAAAGCTTGAAATGGTGAAGATAGGATTATTAATGCTATAGACTTTTATTTAAAAAATCAAAATGCTGTAATTTGTGCCCACTTCGAAAATGTTAAATAACTCTTGTTTTTATTCCCACACATTCTCTTTAACTCAAACAAGTTTTTAAAGTAAAAATGACAATCAAATTCTATTATTAGCTGAGTTATATAAAATATAGTTATCAATAGACTTTGATTAGGACTGTTCTATGTCATTATGACTTCATTTATACTTACATTCTCTCAACCTACTTTAAAAATAGAACCTTGGTAAAATATACCTCATTCATTTTAAACTTTTGACTTTTTTTCCACTTGCAGTTCAGGTGCTATATACTGAGAAGAAATAATGTCAAGATTTTTAATCTGCGAACATTTCTTATACAAGACTGGCCAATTTTAAGATTTTGACAGTTTTTCATGATTTGAGTTGATATGCAAGCTGATAACAAAGGGACAGTGCACCATTTTTTTGACCAATCATACCTTAGTCTCAGAAACGGAAATTTTTTAGCTAAACCAATCAGTTATAGTGTTCACAGCTCACTGACAAAATTTAAGCCTTCAAATCCATGTTTGTGTAGAAAAATCTGCTTTTAGAAAGAGTCATCTTTTTTTTAACACTGCCATATATAGAAAATACTTATATATAGATATAGTGAGTAAAATTCTTAGTTTGAGGTATTTGAAAAGGAATTATAGGTGATTTTTCAGTTCAGTCACATCATATGTATCCATAGTCATTTGTATCACGGTTGTGAATTCATCAACATTTTTGAAAATGAAAACAAATCTAAGAGCCCAAAAAGGCTGAGTCTTGACTGGATAAGTTGCTTCTATTTTGTACTGTGTTAATAATCCCACACTGTACATGGATTGAAGTTAAATTTTTGCTTGTCTGAAAATCAAAGTCCCATAGTTAAGTGCAATTAGTGTTTGTAAAGCACAATATCAGGATATGGGCAAATCTATTGCCAATATTAAAGTTAAATACCAGTATAAGTTTATTCCACAAAATGATCCACGCCATTTTTTTCATTATAAACATAAACGTGTATATTATACTTATGGGTTGTATAAATATGCATATTAAACATATTGTTTTTAGAAGAATAATCATATGTTTTCAGTGGTATAAATATGAATATGTATATTATACTTATTTTTTTCAGTGGTATAAATATGTGTATGTGTATGTATATTATACTTATTGTTTTCAGTGGTATAAATATGTATATTATACTTATTGTTTTCAGTGGTATAAATATGTATATTTATATTATACTTACTGTTTTCAGTGGTATGAATATGTATATCTATATTATACGTATTGTTTCAGTGGTATAAACATGTATATGTATATTATACTTATTGTTTTCAGTGGTATAAATATGTATATGTATATTATTGTTTTATGTATTATGTATATAAGTTGTTATTTGATTCTTGTTATTGTAAAAATGTACATTTCAAATACAGATTATTCTTTCAAAACCATTTTTTTTTAATAATTAAAAGGTGGATGTCAAAAAGTTTCTTGTGCAAAGAATTTTATCTAAATGAACTTTATAACCCACTTATTAGAAATTAGATCATATTTGGGAGGAGGGATGTATGCTGCATAATAGAGACTACAAAAAAATCATATTGGCCTAAAGAGGAAATCTTGAATGAGTTAGATTTTCACAACTTTAACTTAAAGATAAACTACCTCTTAGGATGACCAAAAAATTGAAAATTTAAAATCAGTCGTCGTTCATCAGTGGACTTTTTGTTCAAATTTAATTTCTAAAACACATAGCTCTTTTCCACAAATCATGACTAATTGGAGTGGATCAGCGCATGGCTCCTTTTCGCAATTTAATAGAGAATCAGATTCAACTATCATCATCACAAACTTCGAAAAGGCAGCAATCAGTGCTGTCAATGCTGTCTCGGGTGAAGCATGTCTCCGACAAAGGCTGCTTTTTTAATCATCTAACTCAGAACCTGGAGTAAGGTACAGGAGCTAGGACCAACTTATATGTTCACGCTCTCCTCTGATGTACGGCTCTTTAACAGAATTATTCAATTGTTCATTTGTCGATTACGTGTACAATGTGCATGTGCAGCACGCAAGGCCATAATTGTTTATTGTCTCATTTGACAATCACCGCCGAGGCTGGGGTTTAATGACCAAGTAGAAAAATATCTAGATATGATAAAGTAATCAAATATTATCATACACGTGCCTTCCTATGAACTGTACTTCACCTTTGCCACTGTTATTTAATCGACATGTCTGTGTCATTATTTATATCGCACTTAATACACACAGACCAACAAAGACGTGTTCTACATAAACCATGTATAAACTGTTTCAAAGCGTTCAAGACGAAATCTATCCAGAAATTGAAGGAACTATCCATGGTGACATTCCGAAATGGTTAAATGGAAACCTCTATAGAAATGGACCTGGAATTTTCGAAGTTGGAAAAACGAAATACTTTCATTGGTTTGATGGAATGGCTGTTCTCCAACATTTTAGGATTGCCAATGGAAAAGTTTACTACCAAAGAAGATTTCTGAAGAGTAACACCTATAAATGTAATTTGGAAGCTAAGCGAATAGTCATCTCTGAATTTGGTACTCGTGCTTACCCTGATCCTAAACAAAACTCTTTAATGACATTAATCAGAAAGTTCACCAAAGAGGAGAAAACAGACAACTGTCCCATTAGCATCGTTAGAATTGGAAACGACCTGTTTGCTAGCTCAGAAACGAACATCTTACACCGTTTTGATGGAAAAACTTTGGAAACTTTGGAGAAGATCGACATTCACCAAATTATTCAAGTCAACCAAGCTACAGCTAAGGTTCATTATGATGATCATGGTGTGTTGCATAATCTGGGCTATTCGTATGGAGTTGGTACACCTAAATATTGTTTGTTCACTTTGTCGTCTGGTAGTCAAAGCCGGGGTGACTCGAGTCAGAAATATACCGGACATTTAATATCAGCTATAGACGTAGCCAATACGTTTCATCCTTCTTATATCCACAGTTTTGCCATGACGGAAAATTATTACGTTTTTCTAGAACAACCTTACGTCATCAATGTGTGGGACGTGGCTGCGGCGGAAGTGAAAAAATTAAACATGATCGAATGCTTAGAGTGGAGAAAAGACTGTCGCGTTCGATTCCATATCATTGACAGGAAAACGGGGAAGGAGATCAATTCGAAGTATATCTATGAAACTATGCCATTTTTATGTGTGAATATTGGCAATGCGTACGAAATGGACGGTCATATTGTGATAGACTTGAGTACTTTTAGAGATAACGAGGTTTTGTCCCGATATTTCATGACTAATCTGGCATTTGATATTCCTGGAGCGACCTCTGAAGGAAATTTCCCTCCGGCAACGTACAGACGTTTCGTTTTACCACTGGATTTAGAGGGTCAGTCGTCAATTGGAGAAAATCTAATAACTACAGGCAATCTTCATGCACTGGCTATACTCAGTTCAAAATCAGTGGTAAATTTAACCTCGGACGTAATTTGTAACACACCGTTTGAATTACCTACTATCAATACCAAATTTGACGGTAAACGTTATAAATACGTTTATGGTGTAACCTTTCAATCCGAGCCTAAATTTGCTAGTTCGTTGATCAAATTAGACGTTGAGGATAAGTTCAGTAGAGAATGGAAGGAAGAGGATTGTTTTCCATCGGAACCAACATTTATTGCCAGACCAGGCGGCGAGAGTGAAGACGATGGTGTATTGATAGCTAGTGTGAACACAACGGACGATGAAAAACTGTGTTATCTATTGGTATTAGATGGTAAAACTATGGAAGAGATTGCTAGAGCCTATTTTAAAGTTTGGATTCCCAAAGATTTACATGGACTGTTTGTTTCTGATTAAAATGGGTATGGAGGCCGTTGAAATGTCTATACCACCTTGATACTATTGCATGATAACAAAGATCCATACAAGGAAATAATTATATTCTTGTAATTGTCAAGGTGACAATCGAAGGTCTTTGTAGCTTTGATCATTCATGTGTGAATTTTTAGGTCTGGTTTGGTGCTGGAATGGACACAGAAAACAGAATAGGAAATAACATTAGAAGATAACTTGCCCATATACATGTACAAGTTTTAAATAAAAGTACCTTGTCCTTAATAAAAACACCCAAACTTTAAAAGGTTTACGTAAACCATCATTTGCGCTCTGTAGACCAGCTTTACGAGATCTTTAGTTTTTTTTTAAAAAAAAACAAAGAAATTATCGTTGTGATTTTAAATGTAGCTTACTCTTTCATTGTACAATGTATTTCAATTAATACAAGATATTTTTCAAAGTATTTCATTGTACTAATTTTTTTTAATTGCAACTACCTTGATATTTACCCCATTTTGATTTACGTCGTATTTGTCAGACGAGTTTATCACGTGATTTACCCCGTGATTTTCAAACCGGGCATTCATGCACGTGGTCATTTTTGTAAATATTAAGAAATTGAACAAAATATTGAAAAAAAAACTCGACATATATCGAATAAAATATTACAATATACTCTCGTATGTAAAAGGTCATTTTGATTGGTTCATATGCGCCGACTACTCTACGAAGTTCTTCGGATAAGTTTCATTGAACCATGGTCTCAACATGCATATGGTCGTGGATGCCAATGGATTCGTTTATACCGTATAAAGGGAGGTAATTAATATAAAGTGATGGTGAAATAAAATAAATGGAGTTTTACTAAAGTGATGGTGTATTAAAGGCTAGTCGACTGTCACGCATGGGCTTGATGGTTCAAAATGATCTCGTCCGATCATCTTTTCATCATTTTGGTTAGTAAATGACTCTAAAACATGTGAGGGTATCATGCTAAAAAAATGGTATGCTATTTCGATGGTAGTAATGAACACTGCGTTAGTCTAGTTGCAATTTACAGTACAAAATGTTTATTAAAATTAGTCCTCAATACATCAATTGTAGCGCAATATAGAATATGAAAATGGAACTGAAACCATGTTATTACTCCAAGTTTTATATTGCGCGATATTCAGACAACTGACATATTTCGCAAAGAAGATCGCACAATGTGAAACTCGGATTTCATATTCTGTTTCCATTTTACATGCATATGGTTATAATCGTGGCCGGTGTGGACAAACATTTGCTCAGGACAAAATATCTAAAACGCAAATTTCAGTAACACCATTATAATAATTACAATAAATCTTGAAAGCGGTAACATGGTAGGCGCAGATGATTCGGGTGTTGTTATGGTCATCGTTGATCCAGTATTTGGATTGGTTGACCCGGTGTTCGGGTTGGTTGATCCAGTATTTGGATTGGTTGATCCGGTGTTTGGATAGGTTGATCCAGTATCTGGGTTGGTTGATCCGGTATCTGGATTGGTCGATCCACTAAATGGCATGGTAGAATCTGAGGCAGTTCCTGTTGAACCCGATGGTAGTTCAGATGAAGAATCAGTAAATGGTGTTGATGATTCGGTAGTTGATGTATCATCCGGTTGAAAACAGCAGTATTTACTGCGAAGTGTCATTTCCTGTGATAACAAAATATAGTAACTTTCAGTAGCAGTAACAAAATAACAACCCTGTATCGTGGACATTTATAGCTCCATTTACTCTTTACTTATTTCCCTTGTGATGTCATTCATGCTAAATGTTATTTGTGAAGTTAACGTAACGACCCAAATACATTCCAAGACAAACGATATGCGAATGAAAATGTTATTTTCAATATTTGCATCAATTTGCACCATTCCAATTTTCAATCAGACGTCTGTGGTTCCTGCAATTCCTCAAAAAGAAGTGTTTGGTGACGTCACTTATCGCAAAATAATATGCTTTATCCCATAAGGCCCTTTAAGAATAATGACGTCATCAACCACAGACGTCTGATTGAAAAATGGAATGGTGAAAATAGATGCCATAGGTGTAATATAAAATCCATTTCTATTCTTACGTGGTGTAAACTAGCTGCATGTGTTTCTCCTTTTACACTTAAACTGGAATTCGTACTTGGATCACACACCAAGATTACTTCCAAATGTCTGAAATATAACACCTTGTGATAATACACATATATTAATCTAATAATCTAAACAAATAGAAATGCTAAGGATAATTTTTGGGAGATTTGTAATTAACAGATTCAGATTAGTACATTAATCGATATGATAGTCCTTGGAGACTGACCTAGAATAACTCCGGATAAGGATTCATGAAAACGGAACAAGTAAATCGTGTAATTTGTTGGAAACATTCAGTTGCGTATACAAAAAGGGGGTTGTTGGTATTGGTGCCATTAAATGTATTCTCCGCCTACTTAGATTAGACTATTTTCCAGGGGATGGCCCCCTGACCCTCACTGCGACAAACACGTACCCTCTAAAATCCAAATCGGGAGCCGAGGTGCTCGGATACCGCCCCCCCCCCCCCCCGGAACCCCCGCCCCCTTTTCCGTCAATGAAAGCCTCACTACGCCACTGGCAACATTATTTTTAGGGAGCTCCTGGTAATTTAAAGCCAATCTGTGCTTCTGTTGATAAAGGTATAACGCGTTTTAAGATGTAATTGCTGTATGATGATCTACCTTTTAAAAATACCTGTTGATGAATATTGTAGCATCAAGCCTTTCGTTTCATCCGTTACAAATGTAGCACTGTCTGGAGTTCCCAAGCTGTAATATTCATTCATGTTTGTCTTACAGGCCTAAAATTGGAAAAAAACTTCTTGAGTGTGATCTGATCTCCATGTTAGGCGATATCTTGGGAAAAAGAATTTGTCAGTCTAAAAGAAGCGTTAAAGGGACAGGTAGGCCATTTAATTTGACCAATCACACTTTAATCTCAAAACCCGGATTTTTTTTAGCTGAGCTAATCAGTAATGGTGTTCACAGCTCACTGTCAGAATTTGAGCCTTCAAATCCATGTGTGTCTAAAATTATCCGTGTTTGAATGTTAGATAGACGACTCGTCAATCTGTAATGTATAGAAATAGCGAGTAAAATTCCTAGTTTGAAGTATTTTTAAGGAATTGTGGGATTTTCTAACATTATTAGTACTTCTAAAGACTATTTGGATATATTCAGGACTAAACTCAACCCCCCAAAAATGGCACACCTGTCCCTTTAAGAGTGAATGTAAACGGTGAAAATGGGACTTTTTTGACCTTTTGCAAATGTATTTCAATTCCCCGTCCGAATAATTTGGGTTGAATAGAATCTGCTGTATCAGCATTCTAAAATGTTCAGGTTATTCAGCAACCACTTGTCGTAAACGGTCAAACGGGATGTTGAAATGGTAGAATTAAAAGCAAAAGACCACCGGTCCGAAACCTCCGTTTAATTCGTTAAAATAACCCCTGAACTTATGTCCAAACCTTACTGGAATAAACTTACTGATACATTGACACAATTTGTGGGATCTTCTGTAAATGGGGTACAGGGATTCCATGAATAGTAATAACTTTTTAAACTACCTTCAACATCTTTGAACCTGAAATAGTAACCGCACCAAGATTTTGGCGAATGTGTAAACAAATGATGGTCTCACGTCATGTAGTCAAACCAGGCAGTTAAGATAATAGTAGATTCATGTTCACAAGGTAACTTGCGTTACTGCGATTTAGTCACAGAGCATTTTGATTTGGCCCGTACTTATTGTGGGGTGGGGGCAATGTCACTAGGCGGGAAGTATATGATTACGTTGAATATCATATTTTGTACTCAGACACCCCCCGTCCCCCTCCTTTACTTGACCCTCCGAACAATCAAGTCTGACTGCGGACCTGATACAAAATTTAAAAAATACATCAACTTACGTGGGCTCGCTATCAGACGATGCCAAAGGAGATAAATCAAGAACACCACTGGAATTCCGACAAGAACACGAATTAATCTTCACACAAATTTCTGCAGAGTTTATAGCGGTTATAAAAGCCAGCACACAAAAACAAATATATTGTATTAAACTCATTTTGAAATAATAGCAAATCACTATAAGTAGGTGTAATAATGATATAGGTAAAATTAGATTGAGATCACATGATGATAAGAAAAGTTGTTCAATAATCGATTAGATACTATTTCGACTGAAAATTTGTAGTGATATATAAAAAATAATAATAAATACAGTGTGCAGTTGATTTATATTTAAAGAAAAAAAATCTGATTATGTGAAAAATCCCTCGAGAAATATATAAAAAGGACAATTAATTGGATAAGAAAATTGTTCAAATAAAGTTTTCGAAATAATCCAAACGGTTTGGTGTACATGGTCAACCATTATAGTCACTGCTACTAAACACCACGCCCAATAGCCTCTCTGGATTAGATAGATTACTTCCCCAAAATAAGAACCACCCATGTGCAAACTTGTGCCACGAACAAAACTAGAGTTTTCGGACTAACTTATCTCAACATTCGGATAGAGTACAGTCCCTTTGGTGTGTATCCAGACATTTTGTGTTGGTGAAGATCAATTTTCATTAATGATTAAAGCTAGTTTTCAGAATGGTCTAGTGTAAAATCTGTTGTGAGTATCCACTTGTGAAAGAATCAAAACTATTCGTTGCCCAAACGTTCATTATACTTGCAATATTTTTGAACTTAAGGTCGATTTTCCCACTTGATTCATTGTTTTGTACATTCTTCATTCTCATTGATTGATGAAATTGCAGATGGACCCGAATCGGAAAATGAAGTGAAAGTGAAATTGGAAAATCTAGAAAAATGCAAACTTCTTAATTGTACAGTGTATCAAAAGAGTACTAATTTTATTAGGCCCTATTTATTTGATCAGATTGCCTTTATTGTAAAGTTAATTTACTATTTGTTTTAGACAAGTGAAAGCCTAAAGAACGAAAGATCTGATAATACAAAAATAACCACAAAATGTCAACTCCAGCAAGACGAAGATTAATGAGGGATTTTAAAAGATTACAGGAAGATCCTCCAGCTGGTGTCAGTGGTGCTCCAACTGATAATAACATCATGGTGTGGAATGCTGTTATATTCGGACCACATGATACACCATTTGAGGATGGTACTTTTAAATTAACTATAGAATTTACCGAGGAATACCCTAACAAACCTCCAACCGTTCGTTTTGTGTCTAAAATGTTTCACCCCAATGTTTATGCAGATGGAAGCATATGTTTAGACATTTTACAAAATCGATGGAGTCCTACTTATGATGTTTCAGCCATTTTGACATCCATTCAGTCATTACTGGATGAACCCAATCCAAACAGCCCTGCAAATAATATCGCTGCTCAGATGTACCAAGAAAATGTTCGAGAATATGAGAAGAAAGTGAAAGTTGTAGTGGAAGAAAGTTGGATATACATTGGTGACCTCCAAGTATCTTGAAACTACATGTATTTGAGATATTTTTTTCAAAATTGAGGGTCCAATTTGTTATGGTCGAAGAAGGGTATAAGTGTTTTGTGGGGACATAAGCAGTCCATTTTATATTTCGGTTGTCTAAATGGATCTTAAAATTTTGTTGACTATGTATAGGTAAAATATTATTTATATTACTTATAAAAAGGTGACTGTGGGTTTTTTGTTTTTGAATGTATTGCTCAAAGCTTCTGTCCAATTTTAAGTTTGTAGAAAATTTTGTGTTTTTCTCTAATACATTAAAATAGATATGTGGATTATAATAACTTGCCAAGCCTGTAGGCGAGGTTAATTAACATTAATCAGTATGGCTTAAGTAATATTTGTCAATGATTTTATGCTTTGAGTTATGTATCATGTCATCAATTATTCTAAGAAAAATTAAATTCACATCACCAGGTCTATGCATTCTACATCCTGTTCATTTTTCTAAAACTAAGTTGACTGTTAATGTTTGAAATTCTCTTGGATTGTGCTTGACTACACTTTCAAATTGTGCTGGACTACACCTCCAATTTAATGAAATTATGTGCATTGTTTTGTGTTTTTATTTTGTATAGTGCAATGTCTCACTGTAGCTACGCAATAGTTGTGACCAAAAATTGAAATTTTTAAACTTGGTTAAAATGAGTCTTTGTTTATCAGTGGACTTACTTGGTGTTATAACTGAATCTCTCTATAATCCAATAAATCCATAAAACTAAGTAATAATTCATTAAACTAAGCAATTTTAAGCAAGTTTCAATAATTATTTAGTTTAATGAGAAATCGTGTTATATAGAGATTCTATTCTTTAGTCATGGCACCTGGTAAGTCCAACTGATGAATATATACACTTGTTGACTAAGTTTGAGACTTTAAATTTTATGTCCATTCTGAGAGGTAGTATTTCTGTAACTAGTCACAAGAGTGGTGTAGGGAATTTAATGATCCTAGTCAAATTGTTTATTGATGTATTACATTAATTATACTGTAACTCTGTATGAATTAAAACAGAAGTTGAAGACATGTCTTTAAATATAACTAGTTTTTCCTTTATAGGTTAGGGTGATTGAAAAGTAACAAGTTATTATTCAATATAAGGCACTGGCACAGGGTTAAAGTTATGTTTACAATAATTGTGATGCTAATATGCAATGAACTAAATCAAAGATGATCATAACAGTTATCCTATAAATCTTCTTGGACCTAATAAAGAAATTTATAGGATAAATCAATTGACCAAACGTTTATAAACCCTTGAGTGAATTCTTGACCTCTATTTTTGCTACAATACTGTAAAGGCACCTTGAAGAAAATGTAGAGTATGTCAGGTAAAATGCAGAGGCACATTGGGTTAAATGGAGAGGCTCTTTGGGTAAAATGCAGAGGCTATTTTTGTAAAATGCAGAGGCGCATCACATTAAATGCAGAGGCTCTTCCGGTAAAATGCAGAGGCGAAATTGACCTTATGTGGAGGTAACAACACAGTAGTTTAAACTTTTTATTTTGTATTAATAACAATTATTGATGGAGAAATTGATGATACATTTTCCTGTATAAATAGCACTCTCTAATATTCTTCCCTTTTATGTGATAACCAGGACTATAGAACTATTATCCAGTATTCTGCATTATAGGGCAGCAGCACCAGAAATAATTTCAATAAGTTCTCTTGTGATGACAGCTTGTCTAGTTCTGTTATAGGTCATCTGTAATTTGTCAATCATTTCACCTGCAAATTGAATAAAACAGAAAATATTTTACTGAGTGGTGTTAGTATTCACTTTACTTTTTAACACTAAATAAATTTCAATAACCTGTATTACTTTTTAGAATGAAAATCTTACACTTGGTTCTAGACCAAAGTTACATCCCGTTTTTCATTAGCTTTTATTATCAATATAGCCACTTTAGTTTGGGTCTAACTACAGCCCTCTTGAACCTTCATATCAACCTTTTGACCTGACTCGATGACCTCTGCTTTAACCAATCAAATTTCTACTCTTTACCAAGTAAGGTTAAAAGGTCAATTTGACAGAAGTTCTGTTTTCATTTCGGTAGTTAACCTCTTTATAAATGTGTTTAAATTAGAACTTAAAGATAGTTTTCCTTATTCTTTTAGTGTCAAATTAAGCAAACTATTTGATTAATAATTGGTGTTTCTAAAGAATTATCATGTATTCTTAATCATATCATTATGTTCTTATTGCATATAATTAAGAGTTGTATATACAGTCTGGATAAACAAAAAAAAAACACTTTTGGACCTTTTTTGATCGGTCACTCATTGGAATTCTGCTGGTAATTATGGACATGTGAGACAAACTGGGATTTTTCAAAGTCCTTAGAACACCTTTACTTTCTATTCATATAAGTGTTAGCATTTTCATAAATGAAAATAAGGGAATCCATCTTTTAAAAAAACCATACCTGCATTTTTACTGGCACCCTCCATGGCAGTCATTCTACTGCTCTGTTCACTACAAGCTCCTTCTTTCAGAGCATAATAGATTAAACTGGTTAGGTTGAATTCATTATAGCTTTCTAACATGGGATCATCTACACTATCGTATAAACTTATCTTCTTGGCATTAGATACACTTTCTTGTGAGAAGATTGGCTGAGCGGTTGTTTTGTAAGATACAACACTCCTAGAAAACAAATATTTTTATGTTGATTAAAGGAATACTACTTCTTAGAATGAACATAAAATTTTAAACTTGGCCAATAAGAGCATATATTCATCAGTAGATATACCTGGTGTCATAAATAACATAACAGGATCCTTATATAATCCAATAAATCCAACAAAATAATTTCCAAAAAAATTAATATTTAGTGTTTTTCAATAATTACTTAGTTTTATGAATTTTCCAATTTTCCAGGGATTCTGTTGTAAATTAATGGCACCAGTTAAGTTAACTGATGAATATATACTCATATTGACCATTCTTGAGAATTTTATGATGATTCTAAGACGTAGTATCACTTTAATTTATTTCTTGTTTAATGAAAATTGTGGGAAAAAAAATAAAAACATACGAATGCCAGAATTGACCTACTTTCTAAGTATTGATTTAGTAAAAATTACATGTTATCTTGAGAGAGGATCTTGGTTTTTTATACGCCCACATGTATACGTGTGGGCGTATATTGTAATCACCCCATCGGTCCGTCCGTCCTCATTTGGCCCATGCTCACTCTACAGGCTACAGTTCTTTATGGATTCTTTTGATTTTTATTTCGTATGTCAATGTTGTTATGAATATGATCCCTATTGATTTTCGTGATGATCGGATAATTTTTCACCGAAATATCGTGTCTGACCTGACGTTTTACTCTATTAGCTATATTGTGCAACTCGTGCTCACTCTACAGGCTACAATTGTTTACAGATTCTTTTGATTTTTATTTTATATTTCACCGAAATATCGTGTCTGACTTGACGTTTCACTCTATTAGCTATATTGTGCAACCCTGTAGTCACTAAAGACAGTTTAATCATTTCTGACAGCTGCCAGTGGGCATATGTTACCTTGCCTGGCAAGCTATCTTTTATAAGCATCAACCCATTGCTATTGTGTGTTTTGTGCTTTCAATGCTGGACCATGTTCCTTAAAGCTCAGTATCGATTCCCAAATTGAGATCACTTATCGATGGAAGTTTTATAACTTGTCCTCTCAAATATATTGGTAAACAGAATTTTTTTTTTTTTAAAAGTACTGACAACCTCAACATGTCTTTGTGTAAAAGTTTTGTATAATACTGTACAGTTAACACAAACATATTCCACTTGTAAAAGAACTTACTTAAATACATTATAATAGAGTGAACCACTATCAAATTTATAACCAGAATCCATGATTGTTTTAGCTATCAAGTTGGCATCAGCAAATGTTGGTGGTGTTTTACCAATATTGTTGAATGAGTACAGCATCTCATTGGCAAACAGTCTACAAAATACATTAAAATCACATTGGTAAGGAAACAGTCTAAAAAAACAACAAATCAACCAGATAATTGTTCAATATAAGGAAAGAGAAAAAATAGTAGAAATTTTGAACAAGAAGAATTGTGAAAGAATTGATTACTTACAAATTTTGATGTGAAAATTATACTTAAACCGCAATTTCTTAAATATAAGATGATTCTGCGTCATTTTTTACTAAAGGGGGCTAACAATTTACATAAATTATTGTGCCGATACATCAAGATTATTTTTATCCACTGTAATGCATCGAAAAGAAAGAATCTCGATTCATCAGCCCTAGTTAAAACATTTTCACCTTCCTTAATACATGACTTATATTCCAAAACTAAGAAGAAAGGTAGATAAATAAAGAAGTGTGCAACTCTTCATAAAAACAGGAATCTTAAACAACATACTTTGACAATATAAGTTTAGTTTTGTCACCAACACAGATTATCTTGAATTCTCCACCAGGTTTTTTTTCTTCTAGATCAGCTTTAATAGCCTTGACTACACTAGTATGTATACCACCACATAGACCTCTATCTGATGTCACAGCTACTATTAAATGGTTTGGTTTTGTCTCATCAGGGGTGACTTCTGCCTTTTCATAGAAAGCTAAAAAAAAATATATCATTTAAAACTAAAAGAAAAAAGGTTCGGAAATTTCAATATAAAATATGATATAAGCCCACTAAAAATGCAACTTGAAGCAAGGTTTCAATTCAGATTGAAGAATTTTATTAGCAATTTTGATATAGCAATTCAAAATGTTCCAGTTGTAGATGTAGACTTCAGTTTGATTTTGCCGATGCCATTAGTTCCTGTAGACTATACACACTGTTGAGAGGAGCTGTATATTTATTAAATTTGCAGAAAATTCTCACATAACTATATAATTTGAATTGATTCACATATCATTAAGATAAATTCTAATTTGTCTAATCATAGGAAATATTGGATTGCAAAATGGGCCATTTTGACTTGCAAACCACTTACATTGAACCCTACGTGAAACACTGTTCAATAAAAAAAAATATCAATGGAAGTTTTTTCTAAACAGAAGTGCAGTTGCAATCCTTACATTTAGCTCCTGCTCCATAAGGTTTAGCTGGTCTAAGTTCTCTCTCAGCTCGAGCATATTTAGCAGCTGACACCATCTTCATGGATTTGGTAATCTTCTGAATATTTGTCACAGACTTTAATCTGATACGAACTGAAATTAAAATGAAACGGAATTATGTTATGCATAATCTTGTATTAAAGAAAGCTCTGTCAAGCTATTACAAATGAATATTGCGAAGATGATCATATTCAATCTTAGTAAACAATTAACTAAATCTTGCAAGTCCAAAACTATCTTTACCTCCAGGTGTGGCATGATAACCTGCAACCACAAGGAAATCAGTAACGGATCATTAACAATTATGGGAAAAAGACAAAAGTAAGCCTATAGAACTGCTTTTCTGACTTAGTAAACAAAAATCACTTACTGTCTTTTAAGGTAGCCATGCCACGCACTTGGGTGCTGTAAAACAAAGATATAATGGTATCAAATCACTCTTGAACATGCCATCACACATACAAACATTGATGCCAGCTAAAGTTAAAATACAGTTCCTAAATCTTAACCTTTCCAAAGACTAGAAGGCTATGCTCCATTACACACTACAAAAGCAGTTGTTGCACAAAAACAAGGTCGCTATGAATCAGACTCATGGAAAACAAAACAAAAGGCTCTGTTGATTATTTTTTCTTTGGGTTGGTCAATCCAAGAAGAAAGGAATCATTCTACACTCTATAGGCCCTAGTGACCATAGTAGCATAGACCAATAGTAAAATTTGGATAAAAAAAATAGGTTGAGTTAAGTAGTTACACTCATAAAAAATCATTCTAAATTTCTCTGATTAATTTTAAACTGTGGTTCAATTAACCACAAATACAATATAGTTCCAGAAGAAATCGTGAAGAACGTTCAAGGACAACCTTTTATTTGAGACTTGTTGTGAAAATATACCAAAGGAAACTAGACATTCTATCGGTCGAAATAATCGATGTCTCAAATGCATTCTTCAAAATACAAATACTTTTAAAAGGAGTTGTATTGAAATACATTACCATGTTGGCGAAATGATTTGCACCGAACGCGATAACACGGCTTCCATCTTGATTTTTCAATGGCCGAGGTTACAGACAACGGGAGATAACTCATTTATGTCACTTTGTTCTTGAACAACCAGAAATATTATAAATAAGCCGAAAACTCTGATTTTTAAAAACGACGAAGAAAAGAGCTTGAACTGAATTGAAATAATATGAAAAGCTATGCAGGCTCTTGTGCTAAAAGATATCGTTTTGCAAGTCGTGAAGGGCTCATCGAGTTCTACAGATACTTGTCTCTAATGTACGCTCAGGTCCATTGATCAAGTTCCTTGACAATTAATATTATTTGGCCGGATTCGAAAATATTTTACCACTCTTCTCGTTAAAACATTTGAAACTTGTAACCAGTGGCTATATGAGTAGGGGCCCGTGGACTTAATTTGGATGAGGTTCCTCCCCGGGATTTTTTTAACACCTGCCTTTTTTAAAAAATTTTTCGGGGGTGGGGGTCCCACAGTCTCTGTGGTAGTTGAGCCACTGTACGTAGCCCAGTAATCTGTGGGGCTTTGTAGTAGACTAGTAAGACACAAAAACATGACCTCTGTGGACACCAACCAGGGTTTCTCTCTTTACGCTGCTGTGGTTTCTAACCAATTAGTTAATTGTGGTCTGATTTACACTGTAGAATAATCGTGTTGTCTACCATCGTGTTTTTTTAAAAAAAGCAATATCTGTTCTATCAACATATTTACATGTTGACAGCGATACTAAACAGCCGTCTCTACGTCACAGATTGGCTAAAAAGATCTAGAAACAGATTACTTCCGACGCGGAAAATGACATTAAGTGATGGGCTAACTCGAGGAGTTGCTAAACATGTAAGCTAGACAAGAATGAAGCTAGCGAATGAGCATATTTATTGAAAACATTCGGCAGACAAACTTGCAACTTAACACTTTGCTAGGAATTAATCAGACTGCAGTCGGCATTTTCGTGGATAATTTGGGTTTTGAGCATAATTGTTATGATTATAAAACCCAAATATCCCCCCACCCCCCTCGATAATGTTGATTTCAGAAGTACCTTAACTGCACTAAAAGTACACAATCTCTTCAAATACACATAAAACTTTCTACTTCTATATACATGTATGTATTTTCTTTATATAACTTTCAAACCCGAATAATTCTAGACACACAAGGATTTAAAGGTTCCCATTAAGGGACGGTTAGCTGTGAACCATTGAACACTTTAAGGCCCCACTCTATAACTTAGCTCTCGTTTCTGAGACTTGGTCTATTTTTAGGGTGAAGAAATTCTACTATAGTGCTTCTGCATATATGTCTTATCATATACATATATAGCCTATAATAACAATTAGCAAGGTATACATACTAACGCTTGCCACATTTGAAATTTAGACTGTATGTCATACGTCTTACAGGTTTTCAAACATTTCAAATTTATTTGGCATTTTTCTCTGAATTTCTTAGGTGTCATTTTGGCCCCGGGGCAAAATCCATAAATCCCATGTATAGTACTTCCTAAATTATTAATCTCTTAATTGGATCTAATTGGAGTTCTAATATAACATTTTATATCTTTTTCACCATGTCAAAATTACTTTAATTACAGGTGACAAAATTTTCAAATAAAAAAATTTCCAATGGAATTTAATTCAACATTAACATGGCCGTAGCCTACTTGTTAGCTTAATATTGTGTTATTATTTCTATCAGGCAAATAATTTGTTATAAATTTGTCTGCTCTATTATTCTTTAGTTATCATTGAAAAATCGGCGAATTTGGGCAAGAAATTGAAGCCCTCAATAAAGTTGGTAAACAATATAGTAGACGAAGACAGCACATGTCTTCATTGGACGAAACTTGTGGAGAAAAGTAGGATGTAAAACTCCAAAATGACAATAATAAAATCCGAAATGGTATTAAGCATAGGAATAAAACTTTATCAGAGTCCATTTTAAATTTGACTTTATTTGGAGCAATGGGTCTAACCCTGGCTCCATCACTTTAGACTTAAACCCCCTAATAATATCTGTTGGTACTTCTTTGACTGACCTTGTGTGGTCCCATCCAAATGGTCAAACCTTTTTTTTTTTCATGTCAGCCCCTCCAAACTGTATCACTGATAAGAGAAAATCGGGTTGAAAAATCTGAATGTATTATTTCGGCTCAATCCCAATTTCAAAACCAGGCGTCTACAATATATTTGTGCATTTTGGTCATTACTAAATATTTTCATCCTGTCAATAGTAAAATCCTATATGACAGCGGAGTTCTGCAAGGCGATGCGCTGTCTCCTTATTCATTATATTTGTCTGTGATGACATGTGTAGATACTTGTGGAAGGTGTCACACGATTAATGAAATAAATCTAATAGAACAATTAAAGTTTTCTTATGTATTTGTTAATCTTTTTGAAGTCGTGTTGAAGTGTTTGGGTGGTAAATCTGTTCGTCTGACCATGTTTAAGTTATACTCGCGTTCCCTTTATTACCTTGTATAGTCAACAAAAACAACATACGGCGACCAAATTTCCCGTACAATTTACGTACGGAACATCCTTTCTTTCACGATTATTTATTTAATTTTCTGTCTTTCTTTTCTCTTTTATTCTGTCTTGTCGGCTGATTGTTAGATTGGTAATATTACTTTATTTAGACAACACTTCAAATTTTATTACTTTTCGGCTCATAGAATGTCTACCTTACTGAATTCCCCATACATACGTTACTTCAAATACGATCCTACAATTTAGGTTGAGGGGAAAATCTAGGGTTTCCTTATGAACTGAACTACTTTTCCAAATTTGTCCACTTTATCAGCGTTAGGGATACACGAAAGTTTCGTATTCATGATTTTTCCTAAAATGAAGATTTTTCGGTTGTCTAATACGCATTTTTTGTAGATACTCGTATTTCTCCGACATATTTTCGTCTCAAAATATGCATACAAATGACCTTAATGAACAAGATTTAGACATGCAGCATGTACCAATTTAACTACCCCTATAGTTTAAAATATAAAAATCGAAGGATTTTAAAGATAACAACATTTATTACAATGAGCTTTTCTACAATTCCACAAGTGGAAGTTAATAGTCTTCGAAGAGCAGTCAAACTTAGATATCCCTGTTGTGCCACTAGATTTGGCTTCTGAGCATATAGTTTTTAATGTTCAGATGAACTCAGATTTGGTAAGCGAATAGGTTTTGTTGATAGACAGTGGCGTTTCATGGAATAATTTGATGGATGTGGGTCGGGGGGTACCAAATTGTCAAAAGGGCTGCATAGCAGTAGAAAAGTTTTGAATCTGTTGATTTCTGATTAGGAAGATCTTGAATGCGATTTTCAATAGATTTTTTTTAGCCTTCTTGTGAATTAAATGGAATGTTGACTGTGGGATCACTAGGATGGAAATCAGTATCTCAACTAGATAAGCGGGGGCCGATGAACTTAAGTGGACTAGGGCCTCTCCCCTTGGGAATTTGTGTTAACACATTATACTCTCGTGTATTCTGAGGCTCCCGTAAGTCAAATTAATGGAAAGATTTCCAGGTATTGTTCCGAGGGTTGGGGGCTCGTGGACTTGGTACCAGTCCCTATGGTAATTGAGACACTGTTAAAAATAAAAAGCTATGTCTGAAGTAATACGGGACACCCGTGTGAGCGAGGAAACTTCTAACTCACTAAGCTATATCAGTGCTCCTTCATTTATTTGAGAATAGCTCAGAAGCATGTGGAAAACAATATTTTTTGTTGTCATCAGATCAATTTCAAACTATTTACTATATATATTAAGTATTTTCCCACACCACGTGCTAGAAGGGCCTGATAACAATACACGCGCTAGAGGCGGAGCAAACGTCGACAGTGAGTGGTTAAAAGTTGAAACTAACCAGACAATATCATATCAGTGTGGCTTTCTCTTTAAACAATCTCAAGTATCACTTAGTGAACATATCCTCAATCGTTCAAGTGTCCGAAAAGTGGAGGATCTTATAACAAAAAACAATTCGTCGTCACCCGAGTCAACATCTTGATCAAGCAAATTACATCTGAATATAATTTTATGAGTTTTTTGTAATATTGATACGAGGTGTTAAAGACGTGGTTAATATTTTTAAGCTACCGACGGCCCATACGGTCATAGGAAATAATTTGAACGTAAGTGTGAACAGAGACCGATGTCTAATTAAGTTGCGGTTTTAATTACAATCTCTATTGTTTATCGGCAATTGGATTAATTAGTTATGGAGTGTTAGCTGTAATTGATGTTTTGACAAATCAGCCATCCCCGTCTGTGGTCCTTCCACCTCGTCATGGTGTTAATAGTCGGGGATAAGAGATTAAATACGTCTAAATTTATTGACATTGATCACTTGACATCGGACTATCTGAGGAGCACTAGCGGAAACCTTAACTTTTGCTCCACCATCAACTACTCTTACCAAATACTCTCTCATCATCGTCGTCGTTTTCATCACTAACGTTTTATGTTTGTTTATTTCCGAGTTTGTTTCGAGGATTATTAGTGAGAATGTACAAAACAGATGTGATAAACTTTATTTTAGGACTGTGTGTCTTTTATAATTCCATTTATACAGCGAGGACAGTTCGGTGGTTGTAAGTATAGCTTTTTAAATTTTACTTTAACTGTCACTCTCCCGAGTGTCCATTTGAAGCATAAAAAGGTAGAACGTAAAACTACATTCATTTCATTAAATATTTTATAAGGGCTGATTTTTATAAACTTTAAATATTTTTTATTTCATTCGAGGGCATTCTGCGATTGTGTTCTTCAACTTTAAGAGTCCTACAAAACTATTTGCATTATTGAACTATCTATTGCTATAATTGAACAAATTAAATTCCGAAATCATTATATTTAGTATCGAAGCTTAAGGTATAATGATATTACCTTCCTAAGTTACTGTAAATAGTGACTTATTGATAAGAGTGACATAAGACACCCATGGATATTAATGTAACAATAATATATTAAAATGTATTTATCAAATTTATATTTGATAACAGTAATATGACATCACTTAGAAATACATTAATATTGCGACTTGTATGAGTTTGATAAAATGTTCCCAAAATGTCACCATAAAATGTTATTCTTATGTTAGATAGCATCAAGCATTCCATAACGTTATTCTGATGTTAGTAAGCATCAAGCACATCTTATGTTATTGTTATGTAAGTTAGCATCGAGCATTCCATAATATTATCCTGATGTTAGTATAAGCATCAAGCATATCTTATGTTATTGTTATGTAAGTTAGTATTAAGCCCTCCATAATGTTATTCTGATGTTAGTAAGCAGCAAACATACTGTAATGTTATTCTTGTGTTAGTAAGCATCGAGTATACCTTCAAAGAATATTAATATTCTAGCACAAGTCAAAATTTAAAACACTTTATAACGTTGTGACGCTGTAATATATAAGAATTTTATAGAAATTCAAAATGTTATGCACATGTTTTATTATAACATAAATGTTTAAAGCATTTGAAATTACAGTGAAATGTTTGTTCTGTTTGCGGTATAAAGTCAGAAGAACAATCTAATCATGTAATTTAGAACTTCTAAGTTATCAAGCCACACGCATTGTCTAGAAAGACCTTCAGATAATCATAGCAGATTTAAAGGCAAGCTTGTTAGAATACAGCTTATTACGTGAAATGGTTGAAGCTCCATGCAATATAGAAATATCATTGCTTCTATTTCGTTAGGCCAACGAGCTAGTCAATTTTGACCATCATACTTTTAAACGAGACACCTTGGTTTTTACCATTTTGGAAAATTTAATCTCTAGTTTCTTTGAAAAATTATTGTTCAACACATTTAAAGTAATTCATCTGAAAGTGTCTAAAATTCAAAAGCTTACGCAACTTGTATTTTTACTAAGTTTAGGAAATGCAAGGATTTACATTTTTAATTCCTTGACCAAATTTTTAGAGAATAGATGTCCTTATTTTGACAAGGTGTCAATGTCAATGTTGGTGGAGACTAGAGGGTTAATCAAGAAAGACGAGTTTATTTAATAGTTATTGTTAACCCTCCGATCAAGTCTCGTAACCTTTTACCACCAACCAAAATAAAATCACATAAATCAAGCGATAATGGGGGGTAATTTTACGTCGGATTAATTGCAATGTCTACTTTTAGCGGCCCAAATGTCGTAAGCTTATCTTCATTTACATCAATTTAAATCTGAGTGCAGAATTTGTCAATGGATGATGGCAATAATGAAAGAGGTTCGTACTGAGAAAGGGGACGGAGGGTCCACAAAAGACCATTTTGATAGTAAACAGTCGCCTAGGTTTTCCTGGGCATCTTAGCGACGCTTGACATTCCTTACTACCGTTGAATGGCGGGAAATCCTGGAAGGAGTTTGAGATGTCCCTGAAAAGGGGGGGTCGAAAAGGGGATGTGGTCCGCATCCGAGAAAGTTTTGGCAATAGATAGCTCCAAACTCATTTTCCAGAAAAAAAGTGCTCAAAGTTATCTTTGGTCCGAGATGTCCTGTACTCTTCCAGACTTCCTGTAAGCCTTCCGGAAGCCCAGTTGAAATGACCAAACTTATTTTCAAGTGATGTGTTTATCATGACACCAAAGGCATTCGAAAACTGTACCTTAAGTGTCATTTATATCATAAAATTGACGTAATGAAGACGTATATGATGTCATAAACATAACTTGACATTTTAATTGCTCGAATTAACAAACCTCATACATGGTAAATACATTGAAATATTCGTTTCATTGCCACCCATAACTGAGTTGGTATTTATTTGTTACCACCCCACCCCTCCCGAAATAACCAGAACAAAATAAACACACAAGCAGAATTCTAAATATTAACAAAAAAAAACCCCACAAAATCCAGAAATCAACCCCAAAAATCAGACAAAAAATAAAAGCATTTATAATCCATGAGCTCCAAAGACTGACTTTCCATGCAGAAAGTGACCACGAAAGTGTATAAGCATACCACAAATGTCTTAAATCATTACTTAATGCTGATGTCCTGGCTAAATCTTCTCATTGTAAACTGCATGGTGTAACCCATCTTCTATAGCCCATCATGCAGGTAAAGAAACGTAGAACGTAAGGCTCCATTCATTTCCTTGTTTCATTGCTATTTTTTGTATTTCAGAGCACTGGCTAAAATGACATCTCTAGGGAGTATTACAGATGAAAACCACTGTGATTCGTTATACGGGTTCGTTAAAAGACAGAAAAAACTGTGTCGTAAGAATCTGGAAATTATGGACAATGTCAAAGTGGGTGCCAGAGTTGCAATAGAGGAATGTCAGTCTCAATTTGGAAATCGTAGGTGGAACTGTTCTACTGCTAATAGTAAAAAACTTTTTGGAAATGTAATTTTAAAACAAGGTAAGTTTTAGTGTTGGTTTATTGTCTTTTGATATTTTAGTCACTCTGTGCTGACGGTGGCTGATATAATAGCCTACTGACGATGCATGTATTGAATACATTTCCAGAATGGCTGGATTTAAATGTGCGGATTTTAGAACTTCCAAGAGTGCAAAGTTTGTAAAGCAACGAATTCAGTTATCAGCTATTTACTAAACGAGATCAAAATTGTTATATACCGAGTAGCAAAAAGATGCAAAAGATTTGAACGAAAAGCCAAGGTCAAGGTCATGTGTTATATCACGTGATCTAATAATATCATTATTGCATAGAGTTCTTAACTTTCTTTACACGTACTACATAGCACAATAAAATTACTTAAAACAAGTTAATCTTATGAATGCAGAATATATTAGTGTTTTTTTTTAAATTATTTTTTGCGGTTTGGTATAATTTATGATCAAGTTTAATTTAATGAAGACAATTCTTACACTCTCATTTTGATAGATAAAGTAATTTGACCAGAGTCAAATAAACAACCTTTCAACACCCTATTCATTTAAACCAACCATTAAAAAAAACAACATTGATACTAACTACGTAATTGTATATTTATTTGTAAATTTTATTTTTTAAAATTTGGAAGAAAAATCGAATCAGCGTCTCTTTTTGAGAGATTAATTCTGTATATGCGTTGTTATTTTGCATATACCAAAATATAAACCACACAGATCAAGATATTCAGCTATGTGCGATGTTTTCCTTTAACTGTCATGTGTACAATATATTTTAATATTGCTACGTCATAATTCTATTGCGTGTAGTATCATGTTTTAAACATTTGCAGTATGTTTTAAACATTAAAAAAAATTGACATAATTCTAATGCTTGCAGTATATTTTAAGTATTTTAAAGTTAAAGATAATTGCATAATTTTCCGTAGGATAAACATTGGTGTATGCAGATACATTGACATTGACATACAATAGTTCGTTTTTTCTGGAAATATATTATGTTAGCGATGAGTGACGTTATCAGTAAATCAAAGTAAAAATACAACTACTATTTTAGTACTGTGTTATGAATGGTAGTACAAAATAATATTATTTATGAGTAAAAAATGATTGATTATGTACACATAGACAATAATGAATTCCAACAAAATAATATTATGTTAAATAATAATTTATTTGTGACTAAATTAACATAATATACCTACAGTGTCATGATATTATCATCATTTATGTATTAAATTAATTTCAATAAATATGTGCAAAATATTACATTTCTAATAATTCAGTCCACTGCAAGCGTTCAGATGCAAGCATTTGATAGTACAATGTTTGAATCTGCGTTAAAATGTAAATTTAGTATAAGCACCACCACAGATGTAAGAAGCATCATAACATCATCATTACATCAAATGTTTGATCAAACATTATATAATTTCAAATTTTTATAGTTAAGTGTAGCATTACAAACTATTATTTTCAAATGTTTGAATTTTCAATTTAGAGCATTAAAACATTCCTATTACAAAAATATGGGATACGTCTAGACAATCCCATTTGGATCTCAAAGACTAGTGTCCCATATGTATGTGGTCCCATTTTTAATAGTACAACTCGAAATTCCAAAGCAATTTTTTTTCTCACTCGAAAATTCAACAGGTGTTGGTATAATTTGCTTATTTCTGTTTAAAATTTCAAATTCAATGAAGTGAGAAATTGTTGAAATGATCATGTTTGTATGTTCTCATGTTGGATAATGGCATAGATAATAGCATAGATAATAGCATATCAATATAGTGTGTTTCATTATCATTGAACATTATCGTTATCATTATAATTTCTCTTTATATTTTTCATGGTTCATTTTGTGTTATTCATGCATGTTTACAACTGGTTGAACTAGCCCCAGAGAGTTGAAAAGTTTACGTTTTCTCATCTTCAAACACATATTTCTTAATCCATTTTATTTTTTTTTTCTGTAAAATTAATTATGAGCTTTATTATGTGCATTTGTAGGAAAATTGGTTAATTAATAAGATTCACACAGAGAAATATAAATAATTATCTTAAGATATATAAATTATGTACAATATCTATGAAATTTTGAGACTGAGAACGTAACGATTCACAAAGATATGGATATTAATATTATATACTAAAATGTGCCAAATTACTTTAAAATATATCCCACTTGAAAGATCTATACAAATGTACATGTACATATAAAAATGTACACTAAAATATACATATATATTGCTTATTTATAGGAATAAACAAATTATCAAACGAAAAACAAAATGTAATAAAACCTTAAAAAAAAGTCCAAAACCTTAAGGTGTAATTTGCCAAAAAACACAATGCTGTTAAATTTAAAAAAATCTGCAAATATGATGCCAAAAAATAACTTTAAATTGTTTTATTTTCAAGGTACTCGTGAAGCTGCATTTGTTCATGCAATTTCTTCAGCAGGGGTGGCCCATTCCGTGACGAGGGCATGTAGCAGTGGAACTCTACAAAAATGTGGTTGTGATAGAACTGTGAGGGGTCGTTCCCCGGAAGGTTTTGAGTGGTCGGGCTGTTCCGATAACATAGACTATGGAATGGCTTTTTCTAAAGCTTTCGTTGACGCAAGAGAAAAGGGAAAGAAAAGGAAAAATACGGGTCGAGCTTTGATGAATTTACACAATAACGAAGCTGGAAGAAAGGTAAGGATACTTTTCTTTCTATTTTTAAGAAAACAGTAATAAATTTTTCTTGACTTAAGAAATTTTAACCTCCCATCTAAATCAACAATGGTTTCTTTTCTTATCTCACGTATTTAGTATTAAAAAACAAAAGTTTGGAGAAACTCGTCTTATGAATGATCTACTGTAGCAGTCAATAGATGTTTATAGCAGTCAATGATTGCTATCCACACCTAAAATACACGTCAAGGAATGGCCATTTATTGGAATTTACGCCTTCTCAGATCAAACAGAAAACGCAATATTCTTGACAAAGTTAACGACTTCGACGTAGGATGGTCTGCTTTTAAGAGAAATTGAATGAATTAAAACGCAATGACAAACAAAGTTTCGTGAGTGATTTTTGTACAGTTCGAACTATTTTTCGTATGAATTGCGGCCAGTGAGAATAGTTTTTATTTATATACCCACAAACTTTTACGTTTTACGGGGTCGTAAAAACGACTTCACCTTTTTCCTAGTCGTTTTATTACTGTGAGAGACGACGTTGTTTTTCAATAGTTGACCCTGTTGGGCCTTTGTTGAAGGCTGCTTCATAGAAAATCCAGTTCAACAAAATGAGCCGTTAAAGGTAGTCGAGCATTATTAGCATTGTTCGCCGTACAAATCCTTAAAGCCTACGAAACAGTGAAACTCATAGAAAGAGAACGATAAAGACCTTTCGCTTATTGACTGTCATTCTATACCTTGGTTTCCTTAAGTCACGTACCAAGATGATGTTATTTTCAAACGATGGCTGTTTTCTAGTCACGGTTTACTTCTGTTACAATGACAAGATGCTAGTTTGTCGTGCTGATTGAGTGAAACTAGGGTTTAGTTTGTCCTAAATAGTTTGGTACTGTCTCTATACTAATTTCTTCTTCAACAAGAGTTTAATCCCCAAAGTATACTGTTAATAGTATTTCAGGCTACGTTTTTCAGACATTTTTTGTTGAACAACTAAAAAGATGTTTGCTTTAATGATTCATGAACGACATATTTTCCAATGAATATGATATTCGTCTTCTATTATTTTCATTTGAGTGAATTTGAGTGAATAGACAGGCAGTTAGCATGGTAATCCACAAGGGTCACATTTTAGCCCTATATTATTACTTCTTTTTTCCCATGACATGATGAATTCTGTGACCGAAGGACAGCATTTCTTTTTTGGTGTGTATTGGACAGCTATATGGTACCATTCGGAGAACAACTTTGTCTGAAAAAAGGCTGGAATGTTTCTTGATATTCTTCCTCTGTGTTTCAAGGGTTGCTATTTGTAGCAGACTTGTAAATGTAAGAGATGTTTAACAAATGGTACAGTAATGCTAATATTAACAAAACCTTCAAACTTCGATTAGGATATCGTAAACAATGAGTTTGGTATAGTAACAGCAATTACTTTTCAATTAACACTCAAATGATGGGTACAAGTGTCTATATTTGGTAAACAAAACCGTCTTATTTCATTTATTACAGTATGTGGTGTAAACAAGTACAGTCCTTGTAACCATGTACTCTAAAATATCGTTATTACATACTATAGACGCTGTGTTTTATTAGCTATGCCGTAAGCGTTGATTTGGCAATTGCTCGATATATCGTAATAAGGCAATTTCAATTAATTTATTTGTTTCCCTAATAACAAGAACACTGTTGACATGACCAGTTTAGGCGAGAAAGTTGCCACCTTGGACTCGGGGTTGCAATGTGTTAAATTTGGTAATGCTCCATTAGTCACCTAATTCATCTCATATATTGAACAGTGTTTGAAATCAAGCGTTATCAAGTCGTTTTACTTTATCTCTTGGACAATGGTTGTTTTGATTTTGGCATTTGTTTAATTTTAAAGTTATTTATTTATTTTTTATTCACCTGAGTACATGGATTTTTGACTTTCAGGGGTATTTTCGGTTCACTTTTGGCTTGGATAAAGTGATGACCTATGTTGTCCACAATTTGCAGTTCCACTCCGAGTACTTAATACTAAAATTTACCTATAACTACGAAAAAAAAATTGAAAATTTGGATCGAAATATAAAATTGAAAATTTGGATCGAAATTTATATAAATTTAAAATTTAGAAATCACTGTTGAAAGATGGTAGATATTTATATATCAGTTGACAGTAAAAAGATTTTCATGTTTGTGTGATTTCTTACACATCATAGCTTTTTCTTATTTCCCACGATACAGTTGAAAATGTGGTTTGAGTATAGACGGAAATTATTTTATCGAATCTGAAAACTGTTTAACACCTTTTGAAGTAATTTGTGATCGCTTTACACCTCAATACATATTTATAATGAACTCGATTTTTAATTTATATTTTATATATTATACGACTACTCATAGCTCTTTATGTACAAGTTGACTTCAACCTATCGTCCATAATCTAAAAATCTCATCTAAATAATTGGAGCCACTCAAATCGTTTAAAAGCTTTTTTTTTAAATTCATATAAAAGAGACGTTCTGTTTTTATTGTATGGAGTTTTGACCGTGGCCCTCACAAAAAATAATTTAGGATAAGATCTTGCATTCTGCGGAAGAGAACTTAACTAATTTTGCACATAATTTTTTAGGTAAATCACAGAAAATTGAATATGAGCAATTTAATAAATTTCTATTTTGTTTCGAATGTTTACTTTCAATGCAATATTGCATACATGTATTGGACTTATAGAGATATAGAAGTACATGACATTGTATCGTTTCGTCTCAGTTAAATTACCCAACACCACATTCATTACCGCCATATTGGATTAATAACCCCCTTCTGTATCTGACGACACCATACAGTGATAATGACCTGTTTTTTGACAGTATAAACATGCCTTATTACTTCATGGTTATTTAACCGAGCAAGAACCGATACCTACTTTAACGCCCTCTTTGATACAGATACCTTATTGACAACCCTAAAATTAAAGCTAAATACCCCCTTTCATTAAAAAATCCACATGACACCTTCACGGTCAATTACTTTGATTTGACAACCAAGCACTTGACGACTACAAACCAACAGATCAAATATGTGGTTAAATCTATTCATTCATTAAGCATTATTTGTTGGAAATTATGAATTATAGAAATAAATATTATCCACTTCTGATTAACTGTTGCCCAGAAATTCTATTGACGTTTATCCTTTACTTGTCTGTCAAAATGTTGACACCTTCTAAACGGTGTACTTCATATTTTGTTCTGCTATGAAAAAGACTGCTCGTAAATCAAGAGATGTCAGTCTAAATTGTCGCCGATCATATTTGAAAAATTGATAATCATAAATATAAACATAATAGGTGTTTTTTTTTTTGTAGAAGTCGTATTGACATTAAGCTGTAGGCATATATCTAAGTAGATTTATTGCATATATTTACACACTCTTAAAGCTGTCATCCTTCTTAATGGATTCCCGTAACCATACTATCCATAAATGGGCGGGAAATTTTATAGGCCAGGGTTATGATAAATCTGTCAAGAGTTGCTTTAAATGTTTATGGCTCCTCGTGAAGTAGCTCGTTCATAGCTCTTGGAGTGGATAATTGGCTTTACTGTTCAGATTTATTGTGTGTAAGGTTAATTGGATTTTAGGGTCAACTTCTGAAGGAAGATTGTGAAAATTGGGTGCAGTTCAAGATTGCTATAACTACTGATATTTTCAGTACAGTACAGTTTTATTACAGCAAACTGTTCTATCCAGTAGTTGTTTCAGAGTTATTACTAATCAGAAAAGCATTACGATAACGGCATGCCCTTATTTTTACCATTCTATTTCTATGAGAGTTTTTGGGAGCCTGAATTTGTAATTCTATAAGATTTTGGTCCAAATCCTGTGCTTTAGCTTATATTTGAAAAGGAAACATTGAAAAAAAATTCATTCCAGCTCGTTGTTAGTTACTCACATTGTTAATGCCTTAATCCCAAGAGTACAACAGCGTTAATTTGAATCAGTGCTAATTGTTAACAGATTTGAGAAACGTTGCTAAAGGCACCAAAATGTCTCTTAGCTTAAACAGGGTTGTTTACTTGAACAAGTAATATGGGGCTGTAACGGGACTTACGATGGTCATTAACATAAGAAATATCAACATGAGATATTGACTTTGTAATTCGTCTTATTATTTCAACTATCAGTGGTTTGGGATCTTGATGGTCAACCAAATTGGATGTTTTTCTTTTAAAAATGGAGTTTTACGTCCTATTTTTCTGCACCAATTACATTTGAAGACGGTGTGAAATATTAAGGGCAAAAGGGAAATGAAATAAGTATTAAGTACAAATAGCCGAAACCAAATTCAGACCGAAAACTCCTGCCTGATGGCTATAAGTAAGCTTATTTGTTTTATACCTGAATATTTTGTATTGGCTCAGAATATTCTTAGTTCGTTGAAGAAGACAAAGTAAGGTGAATAGTTACACATGCTATAAGAAAAGTCGATAGTCCCATAGCGCACAGCACAGAGTCCATGAAGGCCAGATGTGTATAATTGTAAAATCTGATAGTTCAACCTATGATTGGATAACCTAGCCGACAGTTGAAAGATAGGTTTCAACCGTTTATTTATCAATATGTCAAATATGCATGATGATATTCATTTGGTTATAACGGTGATAAGAATAACGAACCGCTATTTTAAACTCTCTGTTGAATCCATTATCATACTTGCACTAATACGGGTTCCAAAAGGGACATGTTATTTTGTTCAATAGCTAATTTTCAGTAATCAGTTGATCTATGCAATGCTGGAAGAGTGAATATTTTCATAATACTATACAAAGCACATCATGGTACAAAAGAACCATGCGGTTAATGTGGTATTTGGACGCTGTTGTAAATTATTACAGAATTATTATAATGATGATGAAGGTAACAAGGAAATCGCTACATAGACCAGATGCGAGTTAGTTATCATTTTCAGCCCATTCATGATAGGACTTCTTTGAGTATTAACACGCGTCCATTGTTTTACATTTCAC